TTTTTTTGTTTTCGTTTAGGAAACGTTAAAATTGACACAAGTGAAAAAACAGATTCGCACAATGACAAGATCAACGATAGCAGCTCTGGTGCTCAGCAAGGAGGCGCTAAAGCAAACGTAAATTCACAAGACAATGACAATAAGGAAGAAGTGAACCAACAAAACGAGTGAACTGTGAAAAGAACATTCGATCTACTACCGTTTGAAAATGCAATTTATGATCATATATAATGGTGCAACGTCGATCGAAAGGTAAATGATAATGATTAACCTGTCATACTGTGTGGAGTGAATTGAACTCCCAACTGATGTTATATTTGTCGATTAAAGCTTACGAGCTTAGAATTCGTAATCAATAACTTGGCCATGTCTAGTTAGAATAATTTAATCGTAATTCGTGTATCGAAGGAGGGGAATGATAGGTGATATTGTTGTTATACGTACCAATGCTTCTCCGAATTAACAATCACGAATGTGTTGACTTTCACGAATTCTCAACAAGTCGCGCCTTTATCGAACATTCTCCTTTGTTCGAAAAAAAAATATTGCGAATTATAAGAGAGCAACAAATGCTACGGATGTAGGACGAGAATACCCGAAGTAAAACGAAACTTGATCGATACCATCGAGGATAATAATCATCCTGATGAAAGGTCCCTGTGGACTATTTATCCCAACAATCCAGGGACATTAACACGTTGTTCAGTTAAAAAGTAAATAAATAAATAAATAAATGAAAGAAGAGTTAAATAATTAGACTGACGCGCACAACGTATAATCTCGCTCGATGTCAATCGATCATCCGAACCAGTTAATTACATTATCAATTGTGAAGGTAAAAAGAAAAATGTGCACAAGACTTATGTTTCTATATATGGACACGACGGCGGTCTGTGGTATACGATAATATTAAAACCAGTTTTCCGTGAAACGTAGTTCGACAAGAATAGTTAACGATTATTATTTGTAGAGCATCGATAAAATAGAAGAAAAAAACAAACAAATCGATAAATAAGACTGTTGTGTATATCGAAATTGCAACAAAAAAATTCGCGCGATGGTCATATGAATTTACATGACGTTTCCCAATGTGACATTGAAAAAAAAAAGCTCGTGTACATTAATCCTTTATTGATATACTGTGAGGTCATGGTGAAACTTGTGAAAAAATAAATAGTGCAACAATCGTTCATAGTATTGAATATATTATCATGACCTAAACCACTCTATGAAAGAGTATCAGTTATTAGAGAAAAATAAATAATACGAGGAGTATTGCTTGCAGAACTTCGAAATGCGCTGATCTTTTCGCATGTAGTAATATTCCACTAGATTGCAGCATTATCGGTCGCAACGTATATGTTGTAGAAAAAGAATTGTATACTCTCTGCTTTCGTTGCGTTTCAAACACTATAATGATAATTATTATTATTTCATTTTAATTTTATTTTATTTGTAATACTATTGTCATCATTATCATCATCATTATTTCTATTGTATTACTATATTGCATCATATATAATATATGATCATCACCATCGCCGTCGTTGTTACTATTACCGCTGCTATCATCATCATCATCATCATCATCATCATCATCATCATCATCGTCGTCATCGTCATCATCATCATCATCATCATCATCATCATCATCATCATCATCATCATCATCACCACCACCACCACCATCTTCATCATCATTATTACTATTATTATTGTTATTATTTATTACTATATTATCACTATTTTAAATTTATCACTATTACAAATCCATTATAGCAAAAAAAGTCATTATCGAGACTGCTGCTGCTGTTGCTGCTGCTACTACTACTACTACTACTACTACTACTACTACTACTACTACTACTACTACTACTACTACTACTACTACTGCTACTGCTACTGCTACTGCTACTGCAACTGCTACTACTACTACTACTACTACTATTACTACTACTACTACTACTACTACTACTACTGCTGCTGTTGTTCCTGTTGCTGCTGCTACTACTACTGATATTACTATTAACACTATTAATACTACTGTTAATACTAGTATTACTAATACTATGTTAATAATAATTATTGATTGTTATATATGGCTGACATCATCTCTGCTGCTGTCTTCATTATCATCATTTCATTATCATTGTCATCGTTGCCGTCATCGTCGCCAAAATCATCATCACTACCGTTATTATGATAATATTATATTATTAATATTATTATAAAAGTGAAACCTTCGAAAATAAATAACAGTATTTAAAAGAATTAATTTTTATTAATTTTTTTAAAAAATGATGATTACTCATTCAATACATGTTTCATGAAATTGCTAATGCCGCCAATTTTTTCATCCGTCTGTACTAAATTGCATACTTATTAAATTTTCTCCTACAATTTTGCAGGAAAAGTGAGAATGCCAGTTATCCACAATTTTAAACTTTCTAAACTACGCTCATTAAAAAGATATTGTCATTTAGTAAGTTTAAACTACCTCATATATATATATATTTTTTTTTTTTTTTTTTCATAGAAATTTAATAAGTTAATTGCAAATGTACAGGCAACAAAGTGAAAGCGCATATTCGAAAGATAATCAAGATAATCACTTACTGCCATAAGTGAATTGCATTTTTTTTGGATAATTTCAAATGATAAGATATTGGGAAATTAGCAATCTCTACAAGCATAGTTGTGACGATAAATTAATTTTTATATTACTTTATTCATTATAACTAATAGCTTCTGATACCAGTAGCAGTGATATCAATAATAATGATAGTAATAATAGTAGTAGTAGTAGTAATAGGAGTAGCAGTAATAGTAACAATAATAGTAAAATAGCTGTTATAGTAAAAAGTACTACTAGCAGTAATACTACTAATAATCATAATAGCAGCAACCTTCTGATTTTATAATTATTATAGTATTGCTAATATTAATTGATAATAATAGCAGCAGTTATTAAATTATTATCGTTTCTAACATTGACACAAACTAATTATTTTTGCTACTACTGACGTTATATATAGCATATTGTTTAATACTAAAATAAAATACCCAGCAACGTTGTTTCATATTTCACATATCACAATCTGCGTTCACAACATCCATACTTAGCTATAATTTCATTTACATGTTATTCCGTACATTTCATTATCTTTTATTAGTTAGATGCTGATATTACTGGAAAAGACTACCACTAACCGTCGTCATTGTCATCATCCTTCTAATCATTGTTATGAGTTTAATATATCAATTTTATGATACTCTCGATTAATATAATGGAGCGTACCCTTATAATCACAATTAATTGTCATTATCATTGATATTATTACCTTTATTGTCAACATCATGAGCTAGTGATACAATTATTATCGTCGTTACTTTCACACATATATGATTAAATAATATTATCCTTGCAAATAAATATTTAGTGGCTGACAACGCATGGACGAGGAGGAAACCGAAGGACGTGTAAGTAATGTGAGGAGGCAGAAGGCCGATTGCGTGAAAGTATCTTGATATATTTCAAAGATTTACGTATAACTGATTTATCCTATTTGCCTATTGTCGCTTATACGCGATACGATCTTCTGGATTGTATATGATAAACATAACAAAATAAGATGCAGGCGCAAGGGTCTGTCGGTTACAATTGTAATCAAACAATACAATAATAATAATGAACAATTTATCATAGCCGTGTAATATATCGATACATTTAATAGTAACAAAAGTACGTGCTGTTACGATTATAAATATTTTTAATTATTTACTACCGATGTAGAATTTGAAGATGTTACGTATGCATTGGAAAAGATAAAATAAGTGTATGTATGTATATGTGTGTGCAAGTGGAGGCAAAGCGATAAAATGTTGAAACATATGTATGAACGTGATGTCGACAATTATTATTACTATTACTTTGGATTATGTACACGTGTATCTCTGTACGTTTAATTCGAAATGAAAATGTTACGTTTTCAAATGTTGCAAAAACTGCTGGTTGTATGCTGCGAATCATAATGAAATTAAATAGTGCGATAAATTGCTTTTTGTAAATCTTGGAAATGTAATAACGTAATGATATGACGGACCCTCGTACCTAGCTTTAAGTTATAAAATATCTATAATTTTATCCATTTACAGTTAAAAATTTTACTTGTATGAATATCCGAACAATTCTGAACTTATATATAAATAACGAAAACACGAAAATAAAATGAATATTGATAAAGCATCATTCTTGATTTGCAATCACGGTATTTTGCTATGTTGAGCTGTCTTATGGCTAATATACGAACTTATTCCTCAGAAATAAAACATGATTTCACAGTAACGTGTTTTCTTTTTCATTTTATCTTTAACAAGTTTGCGGGTAAAAATATTTATTTTCATATTTTTTAATATTGTGTAAATACGAGCTTTAACGCAATAATTGACTAATAAAGATTTATTGAATGATACTTGAAGAAAAAATAAATAAAATTAACTTTTTTTTTTGTCTATCATGTTCGAACATGTCTTTAATATCAAAGGATTGGAGATACGTATGTACGTACACGTACTATGTACATAGTTGAACGTAATTCATCATAGTGATGTGCTTTATAGTATTTGCCAGTATGAAATTTAGACGGTCGTAAGGTAATTTTTAATGAGGATTCTTTATAATGAATGAAAATGAATGTTTGTCACTTAATTTTTGTTTTCAATTGTTGTTTAGTTCGTACATCAATTAATTTTACCGAGAAGTTAGCAAAATTAATGGGGAATGAAAAAAGTGCCCTCAGCGGGCTGAAAATTGATGACAAACCTGTGGAAATAACAGATTTTTGGTCACATTATATGGCCCGTGTAAATAGTTACAACACGCAAAGGATATCGGTGTTTGTCAGTGAGCCATCCTTGCATTATAATGCAAATTTTGGAAATCCATCACCGTTGGAGAAATGTACAAAGGTTAACGTTAATTTATTAATTACCTTGTATATTGTAGAATCTTGTGAATGCGTGTGCCAGTCTATCAGCCTCGATTTTTTTCTTTTCGGGTCATATTGTCTCGGCTAACTAAATAATCGACAATTTGCAACAATAATATAATGTGATGTTTCAGAACTTGATGTTATACAGACATCCTTGTATACTGAAATACATTTCATCATGGTCAAAAGGTAGTAAATTTTTTCTAGCTACTGAACAAGTGAAACCTTTAATTCAATCGATAGAAACCCAAAATACATTGCAAATATGCATGGGGTTGTACAATATTCTACGTGCATTAGCTTTCCTTCATGAGAAAGCATCTGTATCTCACAACAATCTTTGTGAAAGTTCTATTTATGTCACGCCAGAGGGATGTTGGAAGCTTGGAGGACTGGAATGTTTGTGTAAATTTAAGGATTTAACTACTTCTTATTTACAAAAAATAAGAACTTATAGATACGAGAAAGCAATATCTTTCAACGAAGATACCACAGCACCAACAAGTTTTACAACAATCGACGTATATGCATTTGGAATTTTAGCTGAAAATATATTGAGATCAAAGGATCCAGGTAAACGGTATATAATTAATTTAAATTATACTCCATTTTAAATGATTATAAATACAAATATTAATGGATAGATACCTTGTTCTACTTTCAGAAGATGTTCCTAGTCTTTTAGAATTTAAACAATTCTGCAAAGAAAATCTGCAAAATTCAGATCCTTCTCTGAGATGTGAACTATCCCAAATACTTCAACATCCATTCTTCACCCATGACTTTATGAGGATATATGCATTTTTAGATGAATTACCATTAAAAAATAATAAAGAAAAAGAAATATTTTTTGGGTAAGTATTTTTAATAAAAACTGCTATTAATCTTTTCTACGTTTGCAAGTATTAAACCTTTTTAATGTATTGCAGAACCTTGATAACACAATTGAGAATCTTTCCTGAAAATATTGTTGCAGAACAATTGGGTCGTTTATTACTTTCGAGAATAGTTTTACTAGATACAACTGCACAAGAACAGCTTTTACCATTTATTTTAAAACCAAAGGGTAATAAAAAATTAAACAGCTAAAATTTTATATTTGAGACAAATTGATGACGCATGTATTTTATTTACAGATGGAAATGACAATACAGACAGTAACTTGTTTTCTATTTCTACGTTTAAAGATTATTTGGTACCCAAATTGTTGCAGATGTTCTGCATAAGAGACGTGTCAATACGTTTAGTACTTTTATCATATTTCAATTCATTTGTTCATACGTTCCAAGTGGACGAGTTGAAATCCCAAGTACTTCCCGAATTACTTGTTGGAATCAAAGACACAAACGATTACCTTGTGTCTGCAACGCTAAGAGCGTTAGCCGACATAGTTCCAATCTTGGGTGCTGCGACAGTGGTTGGCGGTAATAGAGGAAAGTTATTTACAGATGGACGACCAAACAAATTGAAAGATATCAACAACACTAGCAATAGCATAAATGTCGTTCAGTTCCCGGTTCCTATAAGTACTATTCAAAAAGTAATTGATTTACCAGAAAGACCATCTCCTGATGGAGGTGAAGATAAGAAAGAGATTGCTTCTTCAATCATCGACGAAGAATACACATGGTCTGATTGGGATATACAAGAGACCGGAGACATGCATGTACGAGTTTCACAGTCATCCGACCCAGTGTCTCAATCTCAGTCCCATTCCAATGATATTTCGACTTCGGATTCAGCATCAAGGATTGCTACAGATGCGCAGTTAAACACAGATAAAAACAAAACGAACAAATTAAACTCAACAAAGAAGTCAGTTGCTATTTTATCCGATATTTCGGAACTTGATATTAAAAATTCTAAACTGATTGATGCTTGTAAAGAAGAATATGATTATTTCACAGACATGGAGCCTGTGATAAAGAAGACACAAATTTTGCATGTACAACAGCCGCAAATGTTAACGAAAAGTGTGTTTGAGATAAAAGTGCTAAACGGATTGGAAACGTCTGAAGAAAATAATGGCTGGGAAGAGGATTTAAGTGATTGGGGAACAGAAGATGCTCAAGAAATAAAAACTTAGATAAATAAATATGTTACCCTTTATTATATTTTTTGTATTTTTAAAAGATAAATCAGATAAAATCATTTGCTTCATTTCTTTAGGTAAGATAATAACAAAATATTTCTTACAATTACAATTTCAATATGTAATACAAATGTATCGTCATTTTTCAAAAATTGTATAGACATTTTTAATTTAGGTAAAGTAAATTTCATAACAAATAAACGCGGTATTTGATTAAATCGATCAGTTTCTTTTTAAAAGAATCTTTTTTCTCTTAATATAAAATTTTTCTTATAAAACCCTCGAATATGAAACAGTTTTTTAATTAAAAAGGACAGAAATTTCATATTTCAATATGTAGAATTAGCACGCGTTTTCATGTATTGTAAAAACTTGAGTAGTATGCACTGACTGTGTACATTCAACAAGATGCATTTATATTTTACTACATTTTACATTTCTAGACATTTAGGTTCCAAAATATTATAAAAAGAATAATAATTAAAATTTTCCAAAAATTTCTGGAGTCTTTTATTGTTGAAAAGATACTTTTAAATCTCGTTCATACGATAGAATTACCTAATTTATTAGATGAATCAGCAAATATCCTTAAGGCTGTTTCTAAATAATAATTTCTTTGTTGAATAAATGATACAAAAACAATGAAAAAAATTTTGTTGCCTTATTTTTCAATACAATGCTTCTAGTTACGTTAAAAGATATTTTTTAAATTATAAACTTTTAATACTCGCAACATAAATTGTGAACATAGATTAAAATTGAAAACTCTTAATTATACTAAGTTGATGAGGGCGCAACGAGCGCAAGTAAGAACCTCCTTTTCCTACGTGGAACATCGAGGAGTGGTGTTCCAGGTAGAAGTTTCGAGGCATTTGTCGCCGAAATGGTGAGTAAAACTTCTTCGAGATTAATATAATTCGATAAATAAACTTTCTAACTGTTTGTATAAATTATTTAATGTTAATAAAAATGATGGATGCACGTTAATTGGGAGGATGCGTGGAATCGTGTTCATTACAACATGTAGTTGATTATTACAAACTGTTTCAATAATATGAAACAACTAGATATACTGTTTATTACTTTAAATCAACTAACTTTTATTTTCTGCATGACGAAGAATATTATGTTTCCATTTATTTAAAATTTTATTAACATTGTTAATAATTTTTTTATAAATAATTGCTTTTTTTAAATACAGCTGTGATAAAGTGATAAAAATTTTATCTTATTGAATAAGAAAAATGTTTTTTGTCTCGCTGCATGTTGTGTACTAATTAAATTTGAAGCTCGAGGTTATTCGAGGTCTTAGTCTAAAGATTATGTATTGTTTTATAGGGTTTTGTAAAAATCGTTAAGAATAAACAGTACTTCAAACGGTATCAAGTTAAGTTCAGAAGGCGACGCGAAGGAAAGACCGATTATTATGCACGTAAACGATTAACTATTCAGGATAAAAATAAATATAATACTCCGAAATACAGATTAATCGTACGTTTGTCAAACAAGGATATCACTTGTCAGGTACATAATTTAGGTAATTCAAGACACTCGTTTAAAAATGTTTATTCTTAAATTATTGATATTTATTATGTACATTACGTACAGGTTGCATACTCGAGAATCGAAGGTGATAGAATTGTGTGCGCTGCATATAGCCACGAACTTCCAAAGTATGGCGTTAAAGTTGGTCTTACTAATTATGCTTCAGCGTATTGTACAGGTCTTCTTTTAGCGCGAAGAGTAAGTACCCTGTATTATGCATGTAGTTATACATTTTATATCCAAATATTTGTTTAATGATGAAACACTCAGCTCGCTTTGATACATCACTGAAGATAAATTAATTGTTCCCTGTTATAATATATCTCTGAACAGCAATTATATAATATTCAATGCAATCGAAATTAGATTCACTCTTGAAATTATGAGATTACGTATTCTTTCTTATAGCTGTTGAAAAAATTAGGCCTGGATACCTTGTATACTGGAACAATGGAAGTAACTGGTGATGAATATAATGTTGAGGAATTAGACGAAGGTCCTGGAGCATTCAGATGTTATTTAGATACTGGCCTCATGCGTACAACTACTGGTGCTAGAGTTTTTGGTGCCATGAAAGGTGCTGTCGATGGTGGCCTCAACATTCCACATAGGTATTTGTTAGCACAGTTGTTTTAAAAAATATTCAATGAGATACTGAAAAAGGTATTGGCTAATTTCAATAAAATGTGATGTTTCTTTAACACATGCGCGTCATTTGAGTCGTAGCAAGACATGATTTTGTATCTGTGTTCTACAATACAATTTACTGTCTTTGCATGGATATAAAGAGATGAAAAATTGTGTTTCTGACAATATATAATTAGCAATAGAAACAATGTGATTCATGTCTTTAAACATTCATGATTGTTTATCGTTTTTCTATAAATAGCACCAAGAGGTTCCCCGGTTATGATAGTGAATCAAAATCCTTCAATGCCGATGTTCATCGACAACATATCTTTGGACAGCATGTTGCAAACTACATGAGGACGTTAGAAGAAGAAGATGATGAAGCTTTCAAACGGCAATTTTCGCAGTACATTAAAAATGGTATTACTGCTGATAGTGTAAGTATTTATATGTTTTATTTATTTATTGCCACATTCGTCCAGCTTATAATTACTGCAAAATTTCATGATCTTTGCGGTGTCGCAGTTGGACAATAATAAATGCATTGGTTTTAGAAGATAAATGCATCATGGCATTTTTCATGTTGACCTGTGTTACATTTCATGTACCATAATTTATTTTTTATTCATATGTTAACAATCTACATATTACATGTATTTAATATGTATTTGAATGTACATATTAAAAAAAGACATTTGTATAACTTTTGTCTATAGATCGAAGGTATTTATAAGAGTGCCCATGAAGCTATACGAACAAATCCGGAACACACGAAAATTGTTAAAGAAAAAACACCGGTGAAGAAGCGATGGAATCGCGCCAAACTTTCTTTATCAGAAAGAAAGAACCGTGTTATTCAAAAGAAAGCTTCTTTCCTTAAAACATTGGAAGAAGTGGAAGCTTAGTTTTATTGTTTTGTCATTTCACATCAAAATCAGTGTTCGTATATTTGTGAAATTTGGTATAAAAATAAAAGAATTGTACAATAGAAACTTTATATTTCTTTTACTATGTTAATAAATATAATAACTTATTTCAAAGCACATCATCGCACAATGTATCGATTTGGATGATATAAAGACATCAATTGTTGATACGGATATATTTTTTTCTCACCAATAGTTTATTTTATGAATGTTACCTAGAATGTTTCCGATTCGAACAACCAGAAAAAAGGTGATTCTGTATAAAAAAAATCTAGAAGTTTTTCCTTTCAAGAAGGAATATAGTAAATTCTGGACTGTATAAGAATTAATTAACAATTCATTATTTTACAAAAATAAGTCTAACATGTAAAATATTTTTTCATTTAAAACTTCATTTTCAAGAAAATAGAGTTTGAATATGTTTCGTTAAAAATTGCCTTTGTACACGTATACCTAATAACCTTTCAAGCTTGATTTTCTCCAAAATGAAGACTTTAATGAAAATATTTTATTTTTTATTTTCAGCTTATTTTTTTATGCAAAATCACCATTTTTTCAGAGGTACTATTGAATCAGGAACACTATTTCTATAACATATAAAGATTATGATATTCATTGTTTATATCCATATTGATATATTGTATACATGTTTTTACATAACACACTTGTTTAAAATATGCGCATACATAATATATATGTAATACATGAAAAAAAAAATTAAATGAACAAATCGACACGAATAAATTAACAAAAAAACTTTTAATTACACATGTGATATTTTAAATATAAAACTTTAATTTAATCAAAAGAACGTATGAGATTTTAGAAAGCAAATTTAAATTAACGAAAAAGTGACAATCTGCTACGGGAACCGGGTAATCTGCCTTGCTCATCAATTAATCCAGCTTGAATATCTCGGATTGAAGGAACAGTTCTTACTTCCCCTCGAGCTGCTACACTAGGCGGTGATTTAAGCAAACGACGTGCTACACTTTTTACATCGTCTTTTGATATCTCATCTGAAAATAACACGAATATAGCAACTTTATCATTATCTTGACGAATAACGAATGAATAATTAATTCACAATGTGATTATATTAAAATTTACAGATATTGACTGGTCTGAATTTTTTGAACAATCACTGCAATTATATATATGTCAGAATTTTTCGTGTGAAGTTACTACATTTGAAAAATGCAGTATATGTTATGATAAGAGAAACTTGTGTCTACTTTGAAATAATCAGACAAATTCAGACCAAAAAGTGAGAGGAGGATAAATGTAATCGGGCAATATAATGTTCTAAACGATTAATATTAATATTATAGTACGATATAGAACTAATACCAATTGCTTTTATGAAGTATTCTGGTCGTTTCCTAGAACCAGTTGCCAAAACTTGTCTTCCAATATCTTCAAATACAACCGGTCTTTGCTCCAAATTCATGAGTAACATAGACTGCAATTGTTTCTTTGCTCTCTGCGGAAATAAAATTCTCCAATTGAGTTTAAAAGAGAAGAATGTAATTATTGTGTGTGAGTAAACATTACAATGAAAATCATACCGCTAACTCATTATTCGTAATATTGTTTGCCATAGTGACCATCTCGTGCACAATCACTTCCACCATGTCTCTGACATGAGATGGTGTACAAGATGCGTGAATGTAAAACAGTCCTGTGTCGGCGTACGCGTGATTATACGCAGTTGCACTGTACAACCAGTGATATCTGCAAATCAACTATTTTACAACAATACTTATTTTCCACTTAGCTTTCCAAGCAGCAAAAAGATATTCTAAATTTTACCTATTAAGTACATTTGTATACAGACGAGTATACATTCCCTTTCCTGGACCACCAGCACTGAAACTATTACCACCGCCCATCATCATATTTAAAACGCACATTGCTACAAAATTCGAGTCCTGATGAGAACAGCCTTCCAAGCCTATTACAACGTGCGACAACTCGGGTAGACCACTGGGTCCTGCATATACAGGAACATTACATTCTTCCTACACAATTACAAAATTTAAAATTATTAAGCACCAATATTCAAAGGTACCAGTATATATAATTTAAAACGATAATTACTAGTATGTAACCTCCAGTATATTGAGCAATCGAAGTATCAACTGTATTTAAATGTTTTCCTACGGAGTCATTTTGTACTTGTCCTCCTTTTTCCTCCCAGATCGATTTTTCTTCAACAAAATATCTGCAATGATAACGATACATTTTATCTGAAATTGTTACATCTAAAATGAAATATCTTAAATAGTTTAAACTGCATTTTAAATCGAGAAAAATTTATAGAGTTACATTTCGATTTATACTAATGAATACTTTTAACCGTAACTATACGCGATTTTGTTTATAATTACTTTTGAACTGCTGAAACGAGATCCTCATGCTCTACACCAACTCCAGCTACTACCATCCTATGTGGTGTGTAATGATATTTTAAATATTCAAATAATATTTTTCTATCTATGTGATCAACATTTTCTTTTGGACAAATCTTTGGAAGTCCAAGGGTATTATTTCTATATGCAGCCTATACAGACCAAAAATTTAGTTAAACATGCATTTTAAAAATTTTGCTGAAACATTTGTTTTAGTTACCGCATGAATTAAATCCATAAGTATCGGCTCCTGTTCTGGCCTTGTAAGTAAAGATTCCAATTCAAATTTGATCATTTGTCTTGCAGCATTTATCTAAAAATTTTCACATATAGCTTGTAATTTTTATATTATATTTATCTACCTTTGTGTAACAAATTCATGTACTAAATTTTCTAAAGTATATCTTTGAAGGTAATTTACCCATAGTTACTATAATTTATAAAAATTATTACTCTCTGTTATAAATAAGATGCATGTAAAATATGTTATGTTGACATATGACAACTTTTTACCTCCTCTTGTGTAATTTGAGGCCTTAAAACAATGTCACCCAGAATTTGTACAACAGTATCCAATCCACGACGTTCAGCCGACGCTGCATAAACAAATGTATCCCTAGATGCTTGACAATCACATATGCCTCCGTGTTTCTCTAACGCAAGCATTATCTGGTCTTTATTCTTATAAGTTTTGGTGGACTGTAAGAGTAAATTACTGATTTTTTTTTTTATTCCTTGAATGTTAATTCTTTGTTATACTATAAAAAATCTTACTCCAAATGCCAATTTCTCTAGGAAATGTGAAATTCCATGGGGATATGCAATTTCATATCGAGGGCCAGAATCAAGTAATACTGCAAACATTGTTTTAACATACAAATAAATAATCAAAACGAAAAAGTTTTATACTTTTTTAAACTTACCGCCTACTGTGCAAAATTGGCCAAATCGATTTTCCGAGGCAACTTTCAATCCATTCGATAAAACTGTAATTTTAGTAACCTGATGTTCTTCTTTAGCAGTGGCATAAACTGCTTTAGGTAAATTAGGTACTGGCTGAGTTAGTGGAGGAAATGGTGTGACGATTGATTTTCGTGTTATTTTATTATTAATTGTCTTTTGAGAGGAGAAGCTACATTTTTTCAAAAAACAGACACTTCTTCTTCGCACTGCACTGGAAAAGATATTATGAAACGAGTTTAATAATGCAAACATTGACTTATACACATGATCATTAATAGGTTAAGTAGAAGATTCGTGTATTATTCTGAAACTCTTTCTGTTAGAATAATTACCTGTTAGTAAAAGCGACTGTCGTCAAGGAACTTTGCGACACTTGCATCAACATTTTTTTCTTATTGTTCGTACCAAATCATTTAACGTACATGTATATAACTCAACTTGTCACCTTCGCAGTTTAAGAATGGACAATAATCATAACCAAACAAGATTGGAAACTTACTAGATAAAAATATCTCTATGAACAGTGTCCCCCCCTTTAGGGAATTATCTCGTCACATCAAATAATTTTCCGGCGGGAAATTGAAATGACAGTCAACTATCATTATAGAAGTTTTATAAATAATTGTATAATTTTATTATTTTATAACCTTCATAAACCTTAACCTTATAACCTTCATAACTGATTTCAGACTTTCATAAACCTTCATAAACCATAACCTTATAATTTTATAACACTCATAATTGATTTCAGATTTTTATTTTTAATAATTAAAAAGTGCCTAAAAGATGTGGATATTCTTGTCAAAATTAATATTGATCTCTCTTCGGACAGAAGCATAATTATCTACTTATTTTAATTATCATTTAAATTATAATGATTTATATGTAGAATATATTTTGATAATTCTATTGTTAATAGATACTTTCATTTGTTTATTCGTATTAATTTTTTTTGTTAATCAACAAAAGTCAAATATAAACATGAAAATCCGGCGTAAAAATTAAGTTTTCAAAAATCCTAGAGTTGTGGCACCATTAATTCGTACATGTAAGTAGACTTATTAGACTATACTAGGTTTATTTAAGGGGAGATACTCGAGTAACAGCTGGAAAATTGAATGATTTTTATAAATTTTTTTTTTCTAAAAAATTATGAACAATAACAAAACAATATTTTGCTGGTGCAAAGATATATTCATAAGTAAAAGAAAAAAATTATACGCAACTATCGTTTTAAACATCCCGCCAGGATTTTCAACATGTCGCGTCTCAGGTGGCGAGCTTTGCGAATAAAGAAAAAGAGCTACACTCACACTCTGGTGCACATTAGAAGAGTGGTATCATGTTGAGAAATTTGGAATTAAGGAAGTTTGTGTTTCGTCTCGGAGTTTCATTGGGGGGGGGGGGATTATCTCCATCATGGCTGCCAATCATAGAGGGAGCATTACGTATATAAAATTACGTATATAAAATGAGAAAGTTAGGTTAGAAACGCACATGACTCTCAGTAGGAATTAAGACACCAGAAAGCATCTCAAATGGAGAGTTATCTGTATACATAACCTATCTAATTTAATAAAACGAAGATGAAATTGAAATCTAAAAAGGTGGAACGGTCAAACGTGAAATCAGTGAGAAAATCTCGCAAACAGATACGCAAGGAGCTCAGAAAACAGAAAAAAATCAATAGATCAAATTATTTCAAAAGCAAAAATGAATCACGTGCTGCGTCTACACACGCCAGTGACAGTCAGGATCACAAACTGGGTAATAAGAGCGTGAAAGAAGGACCTAAGAAATGTACAAAAGAAACGAAAAAAAAAAAACCTGAAGACCTTGAGCGTCAACGAAGAAAGGTAAAAAATAGGTTGCTCAAAGCAGCCAATCTAAAGGAAGACAAAGTAATTAAAAAATTGGAAAAGCAATTGAAGTTGAACAAGAGAAAAAAAGAGACAATTTCAAAGTCTTTTGTATCAGATGGTTTGGATTGTATCCTTTTATTATTTGACAAAAAAATGTTTTCACACGCATTGTAGCTTCTATATTATTCACAAATGTAAATTATTGCTTTCACAAAATTTCCTTAACTTGCATATATATATGTGATCAGATCTTTTAGACGTTTGTTTAAGAAAAGATCAAGACTGTATTGTAGACACGGAGAAGCAAATTTTAGAAAATGAATTCAATATCGACTCTTATGCAAATTCCTCGATGACAGTGGAAAAAAACGAATGTACAGACGACAAACTAGATATTATTAATGAAAGTGAAGATGAAAATGTTGATTCTGTTGCATTCGTTGAAAAACAATCTCATAATAAGAGTGATTCAAATAAACTGGCACCAAAGACTAAAAAAATAAAATCAACACAGATGAAAAAGTCCAATGATATTGACACTAATGACAAAGATACGTGGGAAGATATTTATGGAAGAAAAAGAGATAAAGAAGGTAACATTATAGACAATGCCAGCAGATACATTCCACCTGCTGCACGAATGAACACTGTACATAGTACAAATCCAGATGATGAAAAATTACAATCGTTGAGGAAACAATTGAAAGGATGTTTAAACAGAGTGACAGAACATAATATGTATAGTATAGCAAACCAGGTAATTATGCAGGATGTTTCAGGACAACAGGTGGTTTCACAACAAATTATGAAATAATTCTGTATATATTGTAACTAAATATATGTATTTATGATGGATTTGTTTATTAGATGATTTATGTATTGTGTCATTCGTTACAGGTTGAAGCGATGTATATGACAAATAGTCGTAATAACATGAACGAGGTATTATCGCGATTGGTGATTGAAAGCTTAGTGTCGCACGTGATCACACCAGATCGTCTTATTTCTGAGCACATGATGCTAATTGTGATATTACATGCTAATATTGGCATTGAAGTAGGTGCTCATTTTTTAGAGAAACTCGTTAAACAATTTACTGAAACACTGGAGAAGTCACAAGATGTAGCAAACAAAGAATTGGATAACATTGTCCTTATGATTTCACATTTATATAATTTTAAAGTATGGAAATTTGATTAAACGGAACAGTCGTAAATGTTAAATAGACGTAAAATTGAATATTTTTAAATTTACTGCGCGCAGGTGTTTGGATACAAACTTCTTTATCAGATACTTGATAAATTGGTGATAAAGTTTACGGAAAAAGAAATTGAATTGATACTGATAATTCTGAAAACAGTGGGATTTTCATTGAGAAAGGATGATCCGAATGCTTTAAAGGAATTTATACAAAGTCTGCAACAAAAGGCTGGCCACGAGACTGAAAAGAAGTAGGTCATTTTACATTTTCTTAAATACATACGTACATAGATACACATGTACGTAGAGAAGAAAAGTTATTATAGAAATTGATTTAATAATTATTGTCATCACACAGTTCAAGAGTTAAATTTATGTTGGAAATTTTATTAGCCATAAAAAATAATAACATCAATAAAATACCTCAATACGATCCTTCTCATGTGGAACACTTGAAAAAAATTATGAAAGGCATAATACGCAAAGGTAATTCAATAACACCATTCAATGTATCTCTGACGGATTTGTTGTACGGTAAGTAATACAGCGATCACAACACGATATGCTTACATCAATAAGTTAGTTGATAATTTATCTACTTCTTATTGCAGCCGATGAGAATGGAAAGTGGTGGATCGTAGGATCAGCATGGTCTGGTCCGAATAATGTGAATAGTAAATCAGTTGCAAAAGAACACAAGCTTAATTTTAGTACAAAAATTCTGGAATTGGCACAAAAACAGAGAATGAATACCGACATAAGGAAAAATATTTTCTGTATCCTTGTGACGGCTGAAGATTATTTAGATGCATTTGAAAAACTGCATCATCTTGATTTGAGGGATCAACAAGAAACAGAAATAATACATGTTGTAATGCATTGCTGCTTACAAGAAAATAAGTTTAATCCTTATTACGCAGTATTAGCTCAGAAATTGTGCGAATATAACAGAAAATATCAGGTATTTGGTGATATTATGCTTTATATTTGATTTTCTTCAAGTTGCAGTAATTGCATATAAAATAAATAATATCGTTATTAAGTTGTGCATACGTAGTCTTCATACTCGATAATAATTAATAATTAAGATTAATTTTAAAGTTGTTTCTTGAAAATTCTGACCAACTTTTTTTTCTATTCTGTATGTAATTGATGATCAATAAGATTTTAACAATTTAAAATAAATTTGATTTTTGCTTGATTTAGCTTACAATACAATATAATCTTTGGGACAAATTAAAAACACTGGAGACATATGAAAATAAACAGTTATCTAATTTGGCACAATTTTTAATTTACTTATTTATTGAAAAATGTCTTACTATATCAATTTTGAAAGTAAGTACTACAATTTTTATTAAGAAATGTTTATTGTAAATATCACATATTGTTGTATTCTATTGCAGGTTATTCATTTTACCGAACTGGAAAGACTTACTACGAAATTTCTTGAACAAATTATATTAGGAATTCTTTTGCACGAAAATGAACAAGCTTGTTTGCAAGTATTTGAAAGAATCTCTGTTTCTTCTCAATTACAGACTTTCAGAGAGAGCCTTCGTTTGTTTATAAATTGCTTTTTAATAAAAAATATACATTCGTATGACATTTTAGACGAGCAGAGAATAATTCTAAAAGAGAGGATCGAATTGGTAGATAAATTATTAATTTTACACGGGTCAAAAATTGGATTTTAAATTTGAAATATAATAAAATACAAAAATTCTGTTGAAAACGAAACATATTCAAAATAATTTACAGTAATACTAATGTTTGATATTGAAACAACTCGCTGATCATAGCTGCCTTATCGATTATAAGTATCATCGATAATATGTTTCTGAATGTATTTCGAATAAAATTCTTACACTCTTACGCTCTTTTTCGTTCTTTTCTTCAAATAAAATAATTTTTATACATTAGTTTTTATAATTTATTAAGATACACAAACATTTATACGCAGTATAGTCTCTAAAATAAAATATTCCTGCATAATTATTTATTTAGTTATTCTTTACTAAAAGTCTGCATGCAAAGCTTGAAAGTGTTCTCATATTTTGAATTCAAATTGCCACTGCATCCATATCCTCCGAATCGATGAATACGAAGAAAATCGTAGCAATTGATATTACCATCGCCGTCACAATCCTGTAGAAACAACAAATAAAAAAAATATAGATATACATTATACAGTAATGACAATATGTATGTAACACACGTATTCACGGGCATGTGTGTATCTGCACGTACTTTAGCAAATTTCGCCATGTAGCCCTGTACTGCGCGAGCTGCGCAATAAGGATCGTTCACGCATTGTGCATATGCTGAATAAAAAACGGGTGTTTTTATTATTCTATTGTTTTTATATATCTCCATTTATGTACGAAATCATAATACATAAATACGAACCATTTTCTTTTGCGTTGTCGTTAAGAGTAGGTTTGCCAGCGTCAACCCAATAAGCCCACGTTATACGAAACGGCCCGCAAACAGATTCATCGCAACCGATTGTAACGTTACATCCAGAAGCAACCTCGCATATACATCCCAGGCATACTTTCGATACCTGTTCCTGTCCTGTTGACGCTTGTTGTCCTGTTACTTTTATCGAGGAAAAAAGAGAAAAGGATATTCATTCAAAGTTTTAAACACACAATTGACATAATTAACAGTAACTTAACACATCAAATTAATAAAACATATTCAGAGGACGTAATTACGCGTCGAGAAATAAGTAAAATATTCTTTTTGGTTATTCTGAACGAATTTCCTTGAAATTATCAATTCTGGTTCACGCGCTGTGAAAGAACTATTCGTTAAATAACTATATGGTGGTTTGGTATGTGAAACCGGATACAAAATTTACAAATCTATACATATACATTTTTTCCCTTCCTCTACTTTTTTTTTTTTTTTTAAGCAAATAAATTTTCTGGAATGTTGAACGTACAAGATTTTAAATCTTTCTTTTTCCTTTCGTATAATACTTTACTTTTATACCAAAGTTTTCTGTCTTTAAGTGTCGTAAAGTGTCCTGTGTAACAATAAATGTGCACCGTTTGAAAAAAGAAGGATATAATGTTTTACGTACTACTCGGATAATATATTAACAATTAAATTTTGATTATTCACCAATTTGAATTAAAGAACTTGAAAATAATTTCATACATTACATTTGATATGTTCCAAAATTGCTGTTTGTCAAAAAGTTAGTATTTAAAATCAATCAATATAAATCGATTGTACACTGGCTAATCGATTTATTCGAGTAGAAACGTAATTGATTACAAAAATAAATAACGATGGCCAAATTTCGATCACAAGCACAGATAGAATTAATTTCTATTTTGCTATCAAGATTAAAGTAGACTTACCATATATCAAAGATGAGAATGATAAATACGTGATGATGAAAATATTCAACAAAAAGGCCATCCTCGCTGTAATTGGCCTTTTTTTCAAGAAACAAATCAATTTATTGTTGAATTTCTACTTCTGTTAATAATCCGAAAATACGGTCGCGATGCGCGGAACGGAATTCACGCGATATTCATAACGTTCTCTTTTATATACAAGAGAATTGTCGCTCGATGTCACTTGCGGAGGTGGGGATTCTAATAAAGGTCAGTGACAAGGACTATCTCTTGGAAAACATCGTGGATCGAAAAAGAAGAATTTCAACTTGTCGAGACGCTGAGGCACGCAGAAGGACAAAAAAGCCGAATTAAAAGTAGCAACGATTTATAAAAGATACTATACATTACTTATAACAGATATTTCAATGTATTGATAGATATTAAAGTAATATCTACAATATAATATAATATAATATCTATTAATATATCAATATAATATTAATATATTAATAAATATTATATCATATAATATTGTAGATATTATTTTAGTATCTATCAATACATTGAAATATCTGTTACAAGTGTATATATTTTGAGCTTTTCTTTAATTATTGTGTCAAAAATTGTTACAAACAGATTAATAAAGTTGTATATTCCGAGGAATCGCATAATACTTTAAAACATGTTAAATTTAAGTGTACGGTACGGTTACAAAACTTAAGTGATTAATTCAGGTCTGTTTAGTCTAATTTAGCTCGAAATTGATGAAATCTATATGAAATCTAGTACTACTTTCATATGTATATTTCATAAGTAAAACATTTCATTGGAAAATACGAACATGTCCATGTATTTATAGCCATTATAATTAAAATCTATTTGAAGGATAGCTTCAATCTGATAATATACACATATGTATATGTCTATATAAGATTTTTAATTACACGACTATCTACTATATCTTTATTTTATCCTAGCGAGAGAAACTAAAAATTGCGTTTCAGTTTGGCAGATCTAAAGATGAATTATCATTTTGATCAGGTGATGAACAATTATATTTGTTTAAAATCGAAATTTCTTATTTTCATAACAATGTCTTATTTTGTCCATCTTCTTTGTTCTTTCAAACACTGTGTTTTCTTTATACACGATATTTATTCACGAGATAGAAAGTATACCAAAACCGGATTTCAAGCCAATACAGCCATTTCAGAGCCTTTTCTTTCTTTTCGTTTCTCTTCTTTTGTCTTTTCCTGTTCTTCGTCGAATCTTTCGGTTAGAGTTAGTTTGGTTGATATATTATGTTGTTCATTTTCTTGAATAAAAAGAACTTTTACATTTTGCAATTTCGCGATAAAATTATTATGATAACATGATGTAATTTTTTACGTGTACAGTTGATGTAATAGACAATATTTTTTACGTTATTTGTAAAATTTATAATATTTCTCACATTGTAATGCAAAAGATGTAACTATCATTGTAACTAAATATTAGCAAAATATAATTTAGATATTCTGAAGTCTAAAGAAAGGAATACGTGTCTCACTGTAATTTCATATTCTATTGTAACTTTGCTGCAAGATCATAATGATGTCATTCGTAACAAACGGAACTATCACATGACGTCAGAGATGCAGAGTTACTAAATATAACGAAATACCATATATAAAAATATATGTATATACAACACATATATAATATAAACCTCATGATTATGAAAATTAATGAGAATTCTAATCATGGGAATCAAGCACACAGGACAAAGCTACGTTTTATGTTTCAATATTTTATGGCGATACCTAACTCTTAACAATAAAATAGCAATAACTAAACACTTAATCAGCAAAAGATTTGACAAGCGACCTTGCATTGTAAGGATATCTCTGGTAGATAAATAAAAAAACGTACAAAAGAACTTGGCAATTTAACTATCGTGATAATTCCATTCAACGTTAGAATTGAAATAAATCTGATTAAACCTGAGTTTTTCATATATTCAAAATTCTCAGGTTATAGGCGTATTGTTCTAGTATAAAAATATTATAATCAACTTCATCCAGACATACATTTAAGACAGATTAGTATTACTGATGGTATTATTCATTTTAAGAATAAGATGATCACTTCTGTATACACATCTTTTATATTAAAAGTGATTTAAGAAAATAATATTAAATCTGGTGAATTCTCCCTAAACTCTTTATTTCTTCTAACAGCGACATGTAAATGACGAAAAACTATTCGAGACTATTTTTTTGATAATAAAAATCAGGGAACACATATAATGTAAAAAAAATTATATTTATATAACTATTAAACTATCTATTTGTAATATACATATTTTCATACCAATTTTCAACTGTTTAACTAAACAGTTAAACTTTCTAATTGATGATTAATAATCTACGATGTCAATACGATTAACTTACATATTTACATAATATGTTTGGTTGATATTTTTTGGTATAATGTAGTTTTACCTAGGAAGCTTTTAAACTGATATTTATAATTGTGAATAAAATATGTACTCAAAACTCCAAACATACCTGCATCATGTAGTCAAGACTTTTCAGTGTACTTACAGTACACTTTCTAGTTTCCCTTGTCAATGACAAAAATAATAAAAAAAATATAGCAGATATAATCGTGTACTCGATTAAAAATGAACGACTACAGCCTATTGTTTAGTTATCAATCAAAATCCTTATTTTGAACGATACACCTATTAGTATATTTACTATTGAAATTTTCTTCTGACAGAAGAAACAAGAGAAACGAAGAAAAATATAGGTATTATAATAAAACCAAATAAATTGATTCAAAACTTCTCAAGGAAAAATATATATACATACAAAACAAACTACATTCAAATTCACGTTGTTCAAGGAATTAATAGTATATATAGAGTAGAACATCCATCTTCTCTTTTCAAGTGTCTTACAAGTATAAAAGCAGCATATTCAAAATAAATAGTTAAAACTGTCGATCAGTTCAAATCCAGTGAAACCAGCAGTAGCATCTACCACCAAAGCTGCGATGATTCTTCTTATTCAATAACAAATTGTATATACAAACAATGATTATTATTTATTAAGTTTACAATAAAGATAATAGACAGAAACAATCGTTTATAGTTTATTGAATGACTCTATGTCCACAGACTGAACAAACTCCTCGAAACTTTCTATCTGTTCTATCAGCCAGTCTACAGAGACCTTGTCGTCCTCTATCACACACATTATCCTGAATTTGTGAATGCCATAGCCGACTGCCACCAATTTAGCTGAAAACACAATACGCATAAAATTGACAAGTCTGCCGGTAATGGAATCTGTTTATTTGATAATGAAAACAGGAAAATAATTTACATGCCGCCCAGACTAGACCATCCATCTGAATGGATCTCACAGCTTTCTCCATGGCATCCATGTCGGTCTCATCGTCCCACGGTTTAACGTCCAACACAATGCTGGACTTTGCGACAGGCGCCGGCTTTCTGGCCTTCTTCTCCTCGTAAGCTTTCAATCGTTCTTCCCTGAGCCGGGCGGCCTCGGCGTCTTCCTCTTCGTCTGACTCGAAGAGGTCCACGTCTTTATCATCGTCGTCCTCACTTTTGGCGGCTGTCACGTTAGCAGAATTATTGCTACTTAAGATAACAGGCGCTTTTCTTTCTCCCGGAAGGGTCTTTAAATCGTATGATTTGATGTGATTATACCATCGTAAAACGTGAGGATTCGAGGATGTTGGAACTTTGCCTAACGCTTCTAAGACTACTACATCCGCCTGAGTGGGTTGCCACCTTAAAAACACAATGAGCTTCGTTTGACATTACTATAGAAGTACACGCGTACGCTTAGCATATTTTTTTTTCTCGCGTAATGCAAAAACAAAAGGAGATACAGTGCGCATAATCTCTCACGTCCTTCCCATAATCACGATACGACGTCCACTCATATGTGTATGCTTCAATATACGCGGAATCAAGATGAACCAACGCACACTAAACGCGTTAAACACAAAATGCAACTCGTCAAATATAATTCAGCATATAGAATGTGGTATAAAAGTAAGAGAAATCGCGAAAGAGAGAAGGAAGAGAAAGTATTAATAGTTTGACGATCTCGGAATAAATTACGGCGAGCAAAGAACCACGTGCATCTCGTTATAGATCGTTCGTACGGACAGAGAGGTGCACTTACCCTTCGATGTAACTACGATCTGCTAAATAGGAATTTAAGTCTTTGATACCCTTGTCCGTTTTCAGATCGCCGATAGCCATTGCGGGGAAATTATAGGCAGAACCGGGACAATTGACTGAAGTTACCGATAATAAACTCCCCTCTGGCTCTCTCGCCGGAAGATATAGCTATATACAGCGAAAAGTTTGACGGTCCATTATTTCGTCGCAATGTGACGTCGTTCCGGTGTGCCATTCTTAGGGGAATAACGAAATAACTAGCGACCGACTTTAAATTGCGACTTCTTAATCGCGGGATTATTGTCAGACTCAAGACTCGCGATTGTTCTTATTTTACAGATTTGTCGGACATTTCTTTTCTTCATTTTGTTCTTTTTTTTTTTTTTAGAATTTTCTATGTTCTTGTTCGCAAAAGAAAAAGATCTTTTAATTTAATTCTTTTTCTTTTATAAAATCGTTTTATTCATAAAATCATTGTATTTATTTGAAAATTTAAGAAAAAGATATATAATCAATATATAATCGTATAATATATATATATATATATGTATATGCAATTCACAATGTTTTTAATTTTACAGATTCATTGAATATTTCTTTCGTTCATTTTATTTCTCTTTCCCTACAATTTTCTGTACTTGTTTGCAAAAAAATCTATTAATTTCACATTGTCTTCTTCTCCTTTTACAAAATCTGCAAATTTGTTTATTAATTGATTCATATATTTGATTGTTTCATTTCTTTGAGAATTAAATGAAAGACGATGCAACATATGCATACAATATATCTATTATATACGTACATTATATACATTTGAGTGCAGGCGTGAAGATTATTTTTTAATTACAACGTTATTTTTTAAATACAACGTACGTAATTAGACGACAGACTATTTATATCAAATTAATTTTTTCTAGCAGATGTCGCAAAGGACGTGTCACACGGTCTGCCAATATGCACTTGAATATGCGCGTTGTTTATGGTGAATTCTATTTTGGATTGATCTTGTAGATCATCCGTTCTAGGCGTTCCGAAGTTTTGGGAGAAGTTTCGTGGAACGGCCGGACATTTGGTAATTTTTCATATATCATAATATGAATTGACACATAATTTATATTTCGCATTCTATGATAATAAAGTATCTTTGTTATCTTTATGCTTGACATGTCCATTTAACAGTTATTAAGAAAAATACAAATATTTTATTGATCATTACGTTATCTAGATTAAATCAGGTTATTATGTTTGTTGTTGGAAGTTTGAAACTGTGACATTTTCTTACATAACAGCGTAACCTCAACGCGTAACGGGATAGTCGGACCAAAATGTTGAGATTACCTGTGATAAAGTTGACCGCAGGACTACAGAATGGTAGAATCCCTGTTGCAAGGTTGCATATAACGTCGTCGAAGTTACAGCAAGAATTAGTAGAAGTATTCATAGATGATAAGCCAGTTCAGGTTCCACCAGGAACAACCGTTCTGCAGGTACAAAGTGTAGCTTGCATCTTAATTTTGTATCTTATAACTTGACAAGCAAGATATTCAATGATAAAAATGTACTTTAAAGTTTAAACGTCTGCGTTTTTGTATGTTTAGGCAGCTGCCAAAGTAGGAGTAGAGATTCCAAGATTTTGTTACCACGAACGTTTAGCTGTGGCAGGAAATTGCAGAATGTGTCTTGTGGAAATTGAAAAACAAATAAAAGTATTTATATTAATTGATTTTATTATAATTACGTATATGTACATCTGTATGCATACGTAATGGATTAAATATTTTTATACTATGTGTGTTTATGTAATTATATTATTTGTAATCTATATCACATAAATATTCAGCCTGTTGCAGCTTGCGCCATGCCAGTGATGAAAGGATGGAGAGTAAAAACTAATTCGGATTTAACTCGTAAAGCTCGAGAAGGTGTTATGGAATTTCTATTGGTAAATCATCCCTTGGATTGTCCCATCTGTGATCAAGGTGGTGAATGCGATTTACAAGATCAAAGTATGGCGTTTGGTAGTGATCGAAGCCGATTTGTTGACATCAACTATACTGGTAAACGTGCAGTGGAAGACAAAGATATTGGTCCTCTAATAAAAACAATCATGACACGCTGCATTCATTGCACAAGGTGCATCCGTTTTGCATCGGAAGTGGCTGGTATTGATGATTTAGGAACCACAGGCCGTGGAAATGATATGCAAGTATGTTCAAAGAAAAGTACTTTTATATCATGTCTTGCTTTATTTGGACTGTTGTCTTGAAATTATATCCTGATATGTTATCTCTTAACAGGTAGGAACGTACGTAGAAAAAATGTTTCTATCTGAATTATCTGGCAACATAATCGACTTGTGTCCTGTAGGAGCATTAACGAGTAAACCATATGCTTTTGTTGCTCGCCCATGGGAGACACGACGTACAGATAGTATTGATGTTCTTGACGCTGTTGGCAGTAACATAGTGATATCACATAGAACGAATGAAGTTTTGCGAATTTTGCCAAGAGTAAATGAGGTACTGTTAACGCGATAATTGTTGATCAAATATATGTCTAATGATTTTTGACACTACGCAGGAAATAAACGAAGAGTGGTTGTCTGATAAAGCACGATTCTCTTGTGATGGATTAAAGCGTCAGCGACTTATAACTCCTATGATAAAGATTAATGGAAAGTTAGAGGCTGTTGAATGGGAAGATGCCCTCGTAGCAAGTATGTCGCGTTTATATTTCAAAATATCAATCCTTATGCTCTCTTTTGCCTTTCTTCAAAATCTGGCATTTCTTGTAACATCAAGATAATATGCTCTTTGTTAGCTGCCCGAGCTATTCAGGATATAGCTCCAAATAAATGTGCTGCGATTGCTGGAAAATTAGTTGATGCCGAGGCTCTCGTAGCTTTGAAAGATTTAGTAAATAGGCTTGGTGGTGAGGTTCTTGCAACGGAACAAAGCTTTCCAAAAGAAGGTGCTGGTATTGATATAAGAAGTAATTATGTATTAAACAACACAATTGCTGCTGTGGAAGAGGCCGACGTTGTGTTATTGATCGGTACAAATCCGAGGTATGAAGCACCATTGGTGAATACCCGCTTAAGGAAAGGATACATTCATGGTGAACAGACCATTGGTCTAATTGGTCCGAACGTAGATTTAACTTATGATTATGAAGTAAGTATAAAACCTGATAACACTTTGGTGATATATTTACACTTTCTTTTCGTTGTTGTTGATTCAAAATTCAATTAATTCATTTGAATATTAGCATTTAGGTCAATCTGCAGATATCGTAACACAGTTAAGAAACGGTACTCATTCATTTTCGAACACTCTGAAATCAGCTAAAAAGCCTTTAATCATCTTGGGCGTTGATCAACTAACGAGAAAAGATGGTGCAAAAATTTTGTCTGAGACGCAATTGTTGGCTCAAGCTTTGGGAGAAAATACGAAAGTAAGGGAAAAGTGATTAAAATTTGTTGTGTTTTATATATATTATTAATATGCATATAATATATGCATGTAATATCTGTATATATATTCCTCAATAGGCTCCTGAAGAGTGGAAGGTACTAAATATTCTTCACACAAGAGCGTCACAAGTGGCGGCTTTGGACGTGGGTTATTCATCGACCGTCGAGGAAGTTAAAGAACAACAACCAAAAGTTCTCTTTTTACTAGGAGCTGACGATGCAAATATCAAGAGAGAAGACTTTCCAAATACATGCATTATATACATAGGTACATAAAAATCGTTATTTTATAGTAGCAACAATGGTTAAACACGATCAACAAATTCGATTAACGATTTAGGTAGCCACGGTGACGAGGGAGCTTCGATTGCCGATGTTATACTCCCCGGAGCTGCGTATACTGAAAAGGTTGCGACATACGTAAATACGGAAGGTCGTTCGCAACAAACTTGCGCTGCAATCACACCACCGGGTATGGCACGACCGGATTGGAAGATTATACGGGCACTTTCCGAAGTAATTGATTGAACTTAACACGCGTTTATAAGAGAAAACTAAAAAACGCAAGAGCGAAAAGAGAATTAACAAAATAATACTTTCAGATTTGCGGAGTTCGTTTACCTTATGACGACTTGGCTGAAGTGAGATCTAGATTGGAAGAAATAGCGCCGCATTTAGTTAGATACGGTGTCGTAGAATCAGCTAACTACTTTGCTCAGGCATTGGAATTGTCAAAGGTAAGTAAGCATAAATAATATTTTAATAGTTCTATACTTGTTTTACCTTTTTCTTGTTTTTTTTTTTTTTTTAGCAAGTACCAGGTTGCTTATCCTCCAATCCATTAGAAGTTAAACAAGAGACATTGGATCAATTTTTCATGACCGATGCGATATCTCGTGCTTCGCAAACAATGGCAAAGTGTGTACAAGCAGTTATTAAGCAACGAGAATCTAACTTATAGATTAGGGATTTAAATTACAAACATAAATAGAAAGATATATTTTATAGTAGTTGTATAATAATATATGAGAATATATTAAAAATATGACACTTTTATTAAAAGATATGTAAATAGTATTTAATTTAACAGAATATACAGATTAAAAGTTAATTTCATGGAATATTAGAATTTTTATTTTTATTATCATATTATAATTGAAATGTAAATTGAATTAGCATTAAAATATCAATTTAAGTAAGTTATTGTAGTCGACGAATTTCTGTGTCGCGTTTTTAGCGTTTATTTAAATTCTTGCTAATATAAAAAACAACGTATGTATGAATACAAATAAATCCGATATCTCTAACTGATAGTATTTATAATTTATCGTATTATCACAATACATTGATTTATCAATATTTTGGACAACTAGGAAACGGCAATAAAAATATTATATTATAAATAAGAATCTCTTTTTGACTGCGTTATTTTATAGTTATATAAATTACTCTGTTATAATATCGTTCTGAATTTTTAAGGTGATATCAATCGGTCAATACGTTCGACGGAATTATTGCATTCTGCTTGATCGTCGGTATCCAATTCAATCGAACTTTCATCTGTCTCGATCTAAATGGAAAGAACAAATGTTAAAACTTACTACCTTATATCCGAGTGATTATTCAACGAGTGATATTTCAACAAAATCACCTTCGCGTACCTTCTCACCTAATGCAGCCAATTTTTCCTCGTAGCGCATAATTTTACTTTCGTCCTCTGCTAAAAGTTCCAAAAGATCTTCTTGGTCTTTCTTCAATTTCTCTAGTTCCTCGGACTTCTCTTTCAATTTACGTTCAAAGTCAGTTTCGTATTTCTTTACCATCGAAGCGTATTCTACTAAACGAATTTCCAACTCTGTAATCACAGTTTTATATTTCTCCGCCTCTTTTGTGCAACCTTCGTTGGTCGTGACGTTGATCGAGTCACTTTCTTCCGGCATCAAGTTCGTCTGTGCCGCGCGTAAAACCAAATTTTGATCCTTCAAGTGACTGATTGATGATCGAAGATCATGTACTTGCGCCTGCATCATATAAAATACCATATCAATTATCAAACACTATTTTATTAAAATTATAGAGCAATACTTATGATCATGTGTATTATATACTATACTTCAAGTTCGTTCTTTTCTTTGACAAGTGATTCCGTGAGTTGGTTTAGCTTTTGTATCTGAGAACTTTGTTCTCGAATGACGTCTTTATATTGAGTTATCAAAACAGAGTCTGGCAATATCGGTGTCGCGATCTCGTTTTTTTGATGCAAGCTACTTCCATCCAGAACCGACTTTATAATCACTCCTATAAAATACACAAAATCGTAACTTTTATATAAAGCGAAGAAAGGGGGATCATAAATACGAATAAAAATCACCTTCTAACGTTTTCGATAGTCTACAAAATTCATGGTCTAGTAAAAGTTCCGAAGGATTCTTTGCTGAAGGTTGAGGATGTTTTAAAGTTCTAGAGTACACCTCGTGTCTAGCAAGGCCACCAATAGCATCTTGAAACCTTTCTAATCCGATTCTATTTTCGATTAAATTACATAGCTTTTCCTAAAAGGTAAAAGAGAAAATATAGCCGTATAATCGTTGGCATGGAGTATTCGTGCAAAATATGTTCTACTTCTTCTTTAATTGTGTTTAATCTCATGGTATTACCTTTGTATAATTAGAAATACTGTTGTCATTGAAATGCACGCACAATCCAATAAGCATGGCGCACATACTTTGCAACAATGTCTCTTGCAAATCATCGTTATTCTCTTGCGACGACAATAAAGCTGTTAAATAAGCTATAGACGAATCGATAAGCAGGAATGATTTAACAGCAGCTAGACAGTGCGCAGTCCATCTGCAAAGTAATATTAGGAGACCTAATTTGCACTGTGCTTTACTGCCCTGTTGCAGTAGCATGACGCATTGTTGCATTAACGTCACTGGCGGCTTTCCGATATTTGTTGCGAGTAGCACGCGCAACAGTTGTTCCTTCTGCGTGTTGTCCTCGATCAATGCATAGGACAGTGCCACGGCGGAAAACCAATTTGACAAAGAATCCGAGGAAAATAAACCTCCACATAACAACTGTCCTAGCAATATTACGTTCGTAAGATATTTCTGGTTCGAAACACGTCGAAATACCACGGAGAGAAAATTTACAGAACAAATGAACGAGGATAGTTTTCTACAAACCTGTCGTTAACGATGGCACTTCGTTTCCCTGGGGTAACAAAGTCTGAATAAGCTGACTCTGGCCCATTTCATTCTTATACAAAAAACATTGGAAACAGTAGAGAACGGAACATCTCAAAGCGAACGATTGTTTTTCGTTTACCATGGACATGAGTAAGACAACGATCGCTGGCCTAAACAAATGACATAAAAAATGTTTAAATGTATTAATATGATGAATCAATGGTATTTGAAATACGTGATATATGACGCGAAGATACCTAGGAGGATTGCTGGGTGCCATTACTTCAGCCAAAAATTCTTGGTTACTGGAATTTCCCCTAATAACCTCAGCCACTGTATTAATGGTTTCAGTCAATACATCTGCAGGTACGCCACTAGCCATCAATATGTTGCAAAGAGCTTGTAGAAGACCACAAGCTCTCATAATCCGTTGACAATTTGATACTGCCTTTACATACACACGAAATAATGTGAAAAAGATCGGCTTTTATATGTTGTATATTTATATATCTGGGAAATTACCTGGGCAGGTCCACTCGGTGCCACTAATGCCCGAATCACTTGAACCATACAATGAACATTCGATACCTTTTGTGGGCTCCATGTGCTTAGGGGATTATCGTCATGTTCGGACGATATTTGAAACATTGGCGTTAATTTTTGAATATAACTACCTAAAATAACAAGTGATAATAACATTGTACTATTTACGTTACGTCACAGTCGACGTAGTAAAATATATGTACGTACCTTCTTTAAAAAAATTCTGATTACTTATATTACCCCTTAGAAGATTTAACATTAACAACAAACAATCTTCCACGACAATACCACCTTCTACATTGCCCTCTTGTGCGATGACATCGAAAATGCGGTCAAATGCATTTTCAAACGCGACAATTTTCTGAATATTTGCATTGCCTTTCGTTAACTGAATAAGAAGTAACAAGACCTGTGACGTCATAAAATATAATTGTGAATTATTGTACATAAACGAAATTACTGACGCTTACGCACAACATTTCAATGAAAATGTACATCGTTACGTATGACTTCTCTGCTATCACCGAGGAGATCCATCAGTTTAGAAACACCCATGGGACTGACTAAGATTATTTCTTGAATATCCTTTAATCTGTTAGTTGACAAATGCATCAGTAACTTTATCGCTGGCCACCTGACTTTGAATTCAAATTCTTCTAAAAGCGCCAGAACTAATCCAACGCTATCTGCATTTTTGATGAATATTTCCGTGAATTGCTCTCCTACTTTGTTGTTGGGTCCATGTTTATCCACTGAAAGTAATATTCACATGAAAGTAAGAGTGAAATTTACATTTTACAAGATTAATTGGATTAGGTTGTCCCAAAAATTTCTTTCGTATTATTATATATAATGAATAATGTATGCGCAATACTTGATGTTTCACATCATGTTATTGAATTATATACCATCCACTCTGATTTATTATTTTTCTCCGCCTCTTTGGAAGCTTTATAATCTTCTTTTCGAAATTCCTGGGGTTTGCTAATGAAATATTGTTCAAAATGCAATTGAACCAAATTTTTTGCTGCAGATAATTTTTCATTTTTTAAATAAAAGGATAAAGTAATCGAAAGGAGAAAGAAACAAATGAGAATGAATCATAATTCATCAATATGACATAAAATACACATGCGTGCATTGTTCATCAAAAAAACGAAACTAATTCATGCACACACGTATCTCTTTACCTTCCTCGTCGAACGTTTTGGGACTTGTTATGTTGCAAAGTGTATCAAGGGCCAAACCAATGATCTCGCAGTCAGTTCTATCCATTTCTAAAATCTGTCGCAATGCGTCCATACCCTGGGCTCCTACCTCGACGCGATATGTGCGTGAAAGAGCTTTGAGCGCTCGACAAGCATCTCGTCTGTCGTTCAACAACGTCGACGACTGTAATCTGTCCACCAGTCGCTCTACCTGTATCGCGTGATAATTTTAATAAGAATGCGAGTACAGAAACGAAGGGCCGCAAAAGACACGAAGATAAAATGTGTTGCAAAAAGTTTAAGGGGGTTTAATTCTTATTTTTCTAATATAAACGCTGTCATTGTTGCGCGGCTACCATGTGTTGCAGCGCAGGAGGGAAAAGGAGGAAAACATAAGACAAGCTGAGAAGTTTGAAATACCGTGTCAGCGCCTGATGGCTCGTTCTCCACAGATGCAGAACCCAAGACGGACTTCAAGCTGCTTTTAAAGTATTCCATTCTGTTGCAACTGGCGATTCAAAAATTGTGAACTACACGTCACGACGCGACAGCGTCGACACTCTCCATTTAATCAAACTCACTGAAACAAACGATGCTCAATAGAGGGCGTTGATCAGGGGACGATTCTCTCGGCACAAACTGGAAGTCGAGTGACCTTGGGAAAGATTGACATACATGCCTCGATGCGTATGAAAATTTCCAGTCGGTCAGCGAGACGTTTGACATTTTGTTTAGTGAGAAATTTCTTGAAATTTTGTGTGCTTTTTCATTTCGTACGATTTTCTTTTGCTTCACTGCGTCCCTCAATGATTTTACGAAGCAAAGACCCAGTTTTAAAAACGCAATAAAACGAATAATACTTCCCAGTTTTTCTTTGTAGATGAGGTTTGATCGATTCATAGAGATTGAACCACGTTAGTGCCACGTAGCGGCAAAACGATGAAATTACTGTTTCTGTTTTGTCGCGTGTTGTTTGTTATACTGCACTATATCCATTCTTGGCACGCAATAATATAGTGGAGGTTTACTTCTTTTAATTGATAATATTATGGTAATTAACATAAAAATACAAGTATTATTTTATTTAAACTTTATGTACAATAAATTGTCGAGCTCTTGCTTTTCCAATTGATTTCAAATTGAATTTCACTTGGTTTGCCGCTATTTGTTTTCATCCTTTTTTTTTCTTTCAATCGACGTTACACCACTGGTCCAGTCGGTAAAGAAAAGCTGTGCGCGCACTACACAATTGAGAAGGTGCTACCATCTGTCGAAATTTGTGTCTTTATGTCTTTGTGTCTTTATTCTTTCAATTCTAGACTAAGGGATGCTTAGATGACAGCATCATCTGCATGCAAGCAGTTCTTTAGTGACTAGATTTAGCGGCGATGTTGATGAAAAGAAATGCAAAATAAGTGAGATTCAAGTTAAAATCAATTGGATAGAATAAAAAAACAAACGCTCAGAAAAACCCCTTCGTTTTACGTAAAAGTTAAATAAAATAATATCTGTTGCACATGTCTTTTTGATGAAAATATACTATCTAATTTATATAAATTGGATATATTGAGCAAAAATAGATCGTAATTGTATATGAAAACAGCTAATAGCTCTCATTCTCTCACAATCAGTTACTCAGTTACTCTTTCTTGCTGAGAATATTCAGCAAATAAGAATTTTTCGATGACAGATCTAAATTGAGTGTAATTCTTATATCTATAATGAGAAAATAAAACACTTTGATTTCTTTCGAGGTCGGTAATTCAGAACACCTGAGACCTAAAGTTCCACTTCGTAACAAGTCTATTCTATCCTTAGCCAATGATCAAAATCTAGGCAATCCTCATCGGCATTACATCATACGAAAAATGAATCGAAGAAGCTATGTTTTATTGTTCGCTTCGAATTAAATATTCTTCTACCAATATACAGGGTGTCCTGCAACTAATGGTACTACCGAGTAAGAGGTGATTCTACTTGGAAAAAAGGGGTCAAAAAGAAAGAATAAAATTTGTTCGTTAAACTCTTTTTTCCCGAGAAAGTCGAGTATAAAAATTTGCCAAGTATACTTGAAGTTAGTTAATTTCGTAGTGAACAGGCGCAACTAATCGACACGAGGATATTCACTTATTCTATGAGTAAAAATAAGTGAATAGTGAATAAAATGTTTTCGTTTCAGGTGTCATTCTCAAGAAAATAGGCTTCGACTATGTTTCATTAAAAATTACCTTGGTACACGCGTGCCTGACAAATTTTCAAATTCGATTTTCTCGAAAACGAAGCATTCTGCAAAAAATTTTATTTTACATTCTTTACTTATTTCCGCACCTGTTTAATTATTTTTTCCTGTCACATTTAGAATCAGCTAAATTCAAGTATACTCGATAAACCTTCAAACTCAATTTCATTTCATTGTTTCAGCAAAAACATTTTGTTCTTCCTTTTCGAATCATTTTTTGACATGGAATCACCTGCTGCCCGGCATCATTATTTGCGGGATACTCTGTATACACAACACAAATACATATGTAGCTATCTTGCCACTACATTTTGCCATCGACATTGCAAACAAACAGGTATTATGTACACACTTATACGCATTATACATACAATGTATATAAGTTAAATTACTTAAAATTATCCGTCAAGAAACATGGAAATAAAATGTATACACATATGCACGGAAATAAAATGTACACACACACACACACGCGCGCGCGCGCGCGCGCTAGAATTATAATCGCCAAGTGTATATAAGTGTGATAGAAAAAGAATCATATCGCTTATGTTGTCAATTCTATTTTTACAGAGACTAGATAAAGAGTAAGGCGGCAACAAGAACAAAGTATTTGAAATATAACTAATTGTAAGTGTATCGCTGTATTTAAATATCGCGTGCGTGTATTTTGTTTTATTCTTTACTTACAAAAAGTAAAAGAATTAAAAGATGTTAATTCAAAGATTTTATTACAACGAGATAAAATGTCGCGATGAAAAACAAACGCAGGACTATATTAATGACCTGGAGTTTGATAAAGCTTTCACGATTTCTTCATACAAGATACAATAACTAAATTCACATTGTTCTTTTTCATCGCTCCATTTGAAATGAGAAACATCAATTGACAAACCATATTTTGTTGATATTTTGGCTTAAACAGTTTTATTTTTGACACACGTATGTAAACATAAATTAACGAAAAAATGAAATGAACAAGTAAAAGGATAAGTTTTTTATTACTTTCATTTTTACCAATAAACAGTTTATTATATATATTCATCGTATTTATTACATTCGTTGCATGTTATTTTTCGTCTTGATATATTGAGTGATTTACGTAAATTTTTCCTAATCATTGGCGCGATAACGTATATTTTGGACATTAAACATTAAAAAAAAAATAGAATAACGATTTTGCTTCTTCACTTTGATTTCATAATATCAAAAACAATAACAATGTTTTTTGTACAAAATTATGTGAAATACATTGGTAACTAGTTAACTTGGTTTTATACTCGAGGATACGTACATTTTATACATATGCACGTGCATACGTGCACGCATACTTACACACATTATCGAAAAATCTAGAATACTTATACTTACGAATTATGTATGTATGATTTTCGTTCTAGAGAATCATTTACAAACATCGATGCCAGTTTTATTTCACATAGAGATGTAAGAATTAAAGATAATAAAATATTTGTTCTATATATGTGTGCTTACAAAGATAGACATACATTGCCAATACAGGAAAAAAAAGAAAAAACGATATTGACGACCTACCTTAAAGATAGACGATAAAGAAGAAAAGTATCTGAACAGAATATATATACATAGGCGCGCGCATGCTGTGAGTACATATCTACATATGTAACGTATCTACATGTAAATGTAAATTAAAAAAAATTGGATAAAAGAACGATTAAAGCTACTTATCGGACAATTGATTTTGCTTGTAGAAAAACATTGAAAAGCAAACTTGTCAAGCGTGCGCGTGCACGTGTACATGTGGGGTAAGTGATAATTAATCCAAAGTAATTACAAGATAGATACAACGGCGATCAGATAGAATGAAACTAATTTTACGATCAGCCGAATGTAAACTAACTATCAACGAATCAGCGACGATCGTAACGCATAGGCAACAAAAAAAAGAAAAACTATAATAATCGCTCAAGGAGATGACAGGAATTGGAGAAAGAAAACGGAATGAAATAAAGAAAAGAAGGATGGTAACATCGGGAACGTCAGTAAACTATTGTTGGAATTATGTTGAAACGGGCTGTTTAGGTCGTTCGTTCCCCGATCGGGAGAGATGTCGAAGGAAAGCGGCATTACCGAAACCGAAGATAACCGAACGACGGGAAACGGAGACAGCCGAAGCGGGTGCAGTGCGAAACGTCACGTAGCTGGTGTTGCTAGGCGGTCTGTCGAGGAGCGGTGGAAGGGAAAAATGACGGTGGGAGGGGAACGTTAGTATAGAAGCCGCGTCATCGTAGATCGGCAAATCAGTTGTCTCGGTGCAGCGTATAAGTACGACTGTTTTATGTTTCTGTCACTGTACGGTGACCGTAGGCTCCCAGTGAAAGTTAAAGAGAAAGGACTGTTGCCGGTGCTGCAGTTGTGCTATTTGAACGATCGTCCAAAGTGACCAAAGTGACTTCGTTCTGCTGTAGAAAAAACTTGTAAAAAAAAAAAAAAAAACAAAAGAATCCCCATTGAGAATAGAAAATCATCACGAAACTTGCAATATACATATTTCCAACGCTAAAGAAATATAATCTGCCTATTAGTTACGCGTTACAAGAAGGCGGTGTTGTGACATTACACAGTCGTTCCGTGTCTATCCGTGACTGACTGCGTGTTTTTCACTCTTTCACTTTCTCTGTCTCTCTCTCTCTCTCTCTGTGTGTACATATATATTTTGTGTGTAGGCGCGCGCGCGCGCTACTGCCTTTATTTGTGCGTAACATCTCTCGAAGATGGAAGTTCTACCGTGTCCCGTGAATGTGAATTTTAATAATACGAGAGGTACAGTCTTTGTTTTATTCTTCGATCATTATTCAAGCGAGCCGATGCAGACACTGCTTTCCTTTCAGTTGCTTTAACTGTGTCATGTCTCACGTACGCGGACAACAGCCGATGGCAACCGATCGAAATTGCTTCAGCTGATTTTCCAGATCAGCTGACTTTTCACAGAATAAACGAATGGACGAACGATTCAAGTCACACTTGAATAACCGTTCGATCGTTAATGTTGCATCACCTGAAATGCGAGGCGGATAATTGCTTACGCAATTGAGCAAAATTTTTCCTTTTTTTTTCTTTTTTTGTATTTTTCTTTTCCGAAAGAAAAAGAGGAAATATATTTATTTAATGATAAAGTGACAAGCAAGCAATAATGTTGCGCGGAACAGTTTAGTTTCGAACAAGTTGTCGCTGTTCAAAGTTGGTTGTCGATGAAGCCGGCCGGCACGTACGCCGTACACTCGACCTGCATATACACGAAAATGTTCTCTAGACGCATGCGCGATTAGTAAACGTAGCCAGTTGAACGCGTCTCTAAATTGTTAGAGGCACGCAGCACAAGTATTTTATAATAACGTTGAACAACAATAGCGATAATTATAATTCTAGTCAGTTGTTGCAAGGAACGATAATCGTAATCAACGGATTGTTTTACATATGATTATTTTGCAAATTAACACATTCGCGACCGGCGATTGTAGGGTGAGACGCTTGGCTGCACGCAAACATAATTTCCAAAAGTCTGTGACTGACATGAGTACGCGAGAGATTATCGATAGAAGTATCAGACTCCTTATCGCTTCTTATTAGTTTGATATTTCTTTGTTTGAAATTTGCGGATCATCCGTGTCCAGCTATCGTTTCGAACGACTCAAAATTAATAAACGCATCCGTTACTCACAAAATTATCATCTTCTTCAATAGTAAGGGTTTCTTTTAAATAATTAATGTACAAATAGAATATAATATGCAACCTAATAAAAAATTGAAATAAGGACAATTTTGATGAAAAAAAGGAGATGAATAATCAATTTCTTCTTACCTGTTAAGCGAACACGTAATAACAAGTATTATCACGTGTTCACTTCGTATACTTGATACTGCTAACTACAATCAGCGATATTATTACAGTTTGGATAATTGCATTATTGTTCACTTCCTTATTGAATGTCCATATATTTATGAGATTACATTTATTATGATACAGATATATTTATAATATTGAAATGAAAATTGTATTCCAACCATCGGCTGTTATCTAAGCTTTACGACTGGCAGGAGCGCCAATTTTAAAATGTAAAATGTACATTGCACTCAGTTAACAAATTTAAAATGATGTAGAACTGCGTTACCGGCATTCAGTTGAAGAATTTGAAATGACGTAAATTACGTTATCAGTCGTGAATGTGTTAATTGGAATCAGAGACGAGATGTAGCTGAAGAATTTGACAGAGCTCGTCAGACTCTCCAACACGATAGCGATAATTATAATTATAATGATAATTATTGGTTGGAGTAAAGATAATCGTAATTAACGAATTGTGTATTTTGCATATCAGCCGAAATTGTGGCTGAAGAATTTGACGGGGCTTGCCAGGCTCTAGCAAAACGAGTGGAAGTTGAACTGAGGAGAGCGAAACACGCGCAGTTAGCATGCGGGGAGGTTTTGCTGCCAGACGACCTCTTACCTAGAATAGCTAAAACTGTACTTAGCATGGCCGAAAATGAACCTTGTGGTCTAAGGTAAACTGTTGTTGTCAACTTGAGCTGATTTGACAATTGTTCTCTCGCTTCTTTTCAATAATGATTGTACCATAAAGATTGTAATATTTTCATTACAGAGGTTGTACCATAAAGATTGTAATATTTTCATTACAGAGGTTGTACCTTGTTCATTAGTTTTGAGACCGACAGCGTGTGCAGGAAACTGTCCAAGATACAATGCGACCCTAACACAGTGTCTACGTTTGAAATTTATTTGACTTTGAAACAGGATCACACGTCCTGGCACATACTGTTGCCTCAGTTTCTGAAGTGAGTCGAGCAGCACTCGTTAACGAACGATATAAACTTAAAAGAAACTCAAAAGAAACCTGTTTGTTAATTTGTTTTGCTTTTTCTTTTCAGAAACCTGACGCGGGGAGGTACCATTATGATCAGCAAAGACTTTACTTTGGAGAAGAAAAAACTGTACAGATCGTATCAGCAGACACAATAAACGAATCCCGCGACATCTCGAGAGCCATTGATTGATTGTCTTGATAAATGTGATTATTCCAAGCTATTTTCTAGTTATATGTAGGCCGTGATGTGGCCGTATTTTTACTTTCCATGCAAAGTGAGCAAATCAGTTTTTCTGATACGCCGCGTATACTTTGCGATATATTTTATTTAGAGGTAGCTATAACGAAAGGAAGCAATGTTGTGAGGAGAATAAACTGTGAATGTAAAGAGAAGACGGAGAGGCGGGAAAGGGTGGAATACGAAAGGCGTTTTGACAATTGTGATAGTAAAGCTAAAGATAAAAGGATTCGCAGATCGTTTCTTTACGTTACGATTTCTAGATTTTGAATATCTCTTGGCGTTTGCAATTCGTTTTAAACACTGTTGTTCTTTTTTTCTATACGCGAGAATTAACATATCCGATCAATCAGTGCTGCAAATTAGAATAGTTCTTTTGTGAAATTTGAAAACATTTTGCGATGTAAACTTCTAGATTCGCGTAGGGAGACATTCTCTCTTAGGAGATGCAAACTTTATCTTCGTTCAACGAAGAAATGATTCGTATAAGACTTGTAACAGTAGTTTTCCTGCGTTTCTACGTAACAATGCGGTAAAATTAAAATCAAGTTTTCTTGATTAGAGTAGCAAGAACAATAACAGTTAAACTGTGAAAATATAGTAATAAGAATAGATGCATAGTTTCAAAAGTACCAATGGACATCTAAAAATATTGACGCAAACAGATTTCTAGAGTTTCCTTCTACGATGTAACATCTTTTACTTATATTAATCGTCAGTTGATATATTTATGCATCTATCTTTTTTATATATTTATAGTGTATGTGTATAGTCTCATTTTTGAATATTTCAATTTTCAATGTTTCAGTGTGATCTTCTTCTTTTATGGGAAGTTTTAAAATTCTTAGGTATCGATTTCTGAAAATATTGCGATACATAAAAAAGTAAAAAAATAAAAAAAATTACGATTGACGCAAAATACGAATCCGTACGATATTTTATTATTTTATTGATTATACATGCAATATTCGCAATATCGACAAAGTTGAGGAATAATTTATTTACGATATCTTATTGTCGGTTTATCATCATCATCATCATCATCAATCATCATCATCATCATCATCATCATCATTATCTTGTAAATTTATGTTATTTTTAATAAAATATGCTTAATATTTTATTAAAAACGAAATTATTTAATATTTTATTAAAAACGAAATTTAAAAACGATTGCATTGAAAGAGAAAAGGAAAAAAGTGCGTAGGATCATCCGTATGTGACTTTATAAGACTGATCAGCGTTAGAATTTCAAGATAATCTTTGTACGGGTATCAAAGTATTTAGAAAACTGATATAAGATATAGAAAGTTGAGACGTTGAATGGAGCATCGCATTCAAACTTGGATTGTAAAATAGTTGGACGCAAATTTCATGGATTAAGAGCAGTTGAAAGTCGAACGTTCTCTCTGCGCCTGTTACAACAACAATAAAGAAATTTGAAAAAAAGAAAGAAGCCCGTTGTTTGTGATTCTATTGATTACGTAGGAGTAATCAAAGTACAAGACGCTATTACGTATATTTTGTACTTCGTTAAAGACATTGTATGTGTGCGTGTGAAGTAGAGAGAAAGGAGGAGATTGAAATGGAAAGAGAGTTATATGCATGAGCGCGCGTACGCGCACGTATTTAATTTTTTTTATATTTGATACATTGTTGAATATTGTTTGCTTAGAAAGAAATGTGGCGGAAGTTGAGAGACAGGAAATAAACATTGTATTTGATATGTATTTCATCTTTCTCCTTTGATCGGTTCATATTCATTTAAATTCATTCATACATTTAGTATTTGTTTTGCAAAATTTGTCGCAACAAATATAATTTTTATTCGTTCCAAGTTACATATCGTTTTTTCTTTTTTGAGCATATCGTTCAACTTGATCCGAACTTGTGATCCTAACTTGATTCTTAACTTATCTTAATAACGAGCAAATATTTATTTCGTTGTTTCACTTGTTTCAGTCGAGACGTTCGTTGCGTTCTGATGAAATTGTACACGAGATCTTTATCCTGCAAAATGATACGATTGTTTTACGAAGTTTTAATTTTTTTTTTTTTGTTGTTCGAAAGTCTCGAGCTTTTATGAAACAACAGTGAAACTTCCAATTCGATCCACTTTTCTCTCCTTTTGTAAAATTTCAACTAACTTTATCTATCTGAGATTTGTCGAGGCAACGGTGGTATCGTTGTTGCTGCTGCTGCTGCTTCTTTTTTCCATAGTAAGACTTTCATCTTACTTCAGATTCTTCGACGATCGGCGAGCATTTTTTATTTCTTGTTGCTTCTTACTATTGCTATTGTTATCACCTTCTTTTCTTTTCATTATCTTCGGAAATAAATCAGCTTTATTCCTTTTATCGAAACGATCTTTCTTTCTTTCCACTGATAAGTCTACATTACGTTGCTCATGCACGAACGAAGAACAATTGTTCGTTTTAGAGTAACCATTTGCTGTTTTGCTCTCGTCGACTACTCCATGTGGTCTCAGTTTCGGTTTCGGTTCTAAGTTCACTGTCCCTTTTTCCTTCTTTTCTTTTAATTTTTCCTTGATACGCGATCTTGATTTTGTTTGTTCTTGCACGAGTTTTGCTGCATGGTTGTTCAATGGCTTTGTAGCAGCTACCAATGGAAATTCAGAAATAAATGCTTGCGACTTTTGGACAAAAATCTGCGACACGTTTCCAAATATCCAAGAATCGATGGGCGAAGGATGGGGTTCAGCGTCGACCATCAAATGCATCATCCTTCCAGTTGTATCCTGCTTCCAACAAGGATCCAACCTGGCAAACACCCACTGAAAAGAAAAAGAGAGACAGTAAATGACGAAATTAGAAAGATCTAGATAGGCATTTGAATACTCGCATTGAACAACCGTAGCCAGGCCACACGGCAACATTCACCGCTGAACTCGAACAATTTCTTCTTCAAACAATATCTTTCAAACGCAATTGCGACTGCCCTGTCGACAATATCTTCGCGGATGCGGGCAATCCGATGTTCTTTTAATTGATCTTGCACGAAATCGTGCCAATTTGGCTGTTGGACGTCTTGAGGAATCGGATGTAACATACTTGGCAATTGACACTCGTGCCAATTAGATGTAAGATTTATTCCTCTTCCGCCAGATTCACCTGGCGATTTATTCCTCTCTCGTTTATCTTTGCCTCTTTTGTCTGAATAGAAGAATATTCAACTGTAATTCACTGACTTTAATGCAATTGGCGACGTTCTTTTAAATCTTCATTGTTGTTGACATTAAAATTACAATGGGCATTCAGTAAATGGTAAATACTGGTTGAAATTTACGCGCACGTAACAACGATTCATTTTAATGAAATTGAATTGCACATATTTAACATTTAAACATTTTATTTCTTTCCTTATATATTTATTGTCTCGAAGTATCTTCTTTCTCTTGGTGTAGAATGTACAATAATACGCGCAACAAACAAAGAAAACTTGTTGGCGCAGGAAATTTTTTACAATCAAGGAAATTACATGTGTATCGTTATCATTCGTGTTTTTTTGCTTTTTATAAATAAATATAATAAACTTGAGAATGATATATATATATATATATATATATATATACACACACACATACTCACGTGTATGTAAATACGTTACACTGTATAGATCGAAAAAAAAAAATATATATATATATATACATATATGTATATATAGATCGAGAAGTCACAAAATTGATTGCGAAACGTTATTTCCATGTAAACATTCGTGTCGCTTGATTTCAATCTGAAAATGTGATTTACAGTTTCGGCTTTGACTTCGATTTCAAGCACAGAAACATTTAAGGAACGTTCGTGTTTTCTAAAATATATGTGTTACATAACCTTTAAAAGATCATATCTCAATTACATGGAACGATTCACGTTACGTTACACGAAAGAAGCAAGAAACGTAAAAGAGCGTACGAGGTAGATTTAACGATACATCTACGATTTCTTTTTCGATCCGACTTACAACGCTATCACTTAATTATACCATTTTTTTTTCCTTTTTTTCTTTCTTTTCTCTTTTTTAAAGAAATTAACAAATATTATACGAGAGGTCAACTCGAAACAAAAATGCAAACCTTTCACACTTCAGCTGTTATTACACTCTTGCTGCGATTGCTTACGTTTTATTAATCAACGCACCCTTCCTTGTGAACTAACATCTGACGATTCTCGACTACAGCGAAAACTTACGACTCACAACACCCACGATAAAATAATACTGATTTCCTTGTTCTCACATTGGATCGCGTTTCTTCCTTGCTCTTCATACATAATATTTATTCGCCTACTGGCACACTGACTGATCGTACACTTTACATAGTAGTTGAACCATTGGAAAAGTTTGAAAAAGGAAAAGGAGAGCACGGATAGAAACCAACGGATAGAAAGAAATAGTCGAATTCTGAATGACTAACAGTGCAGAACGTGTGCATTTTAACCCACAACGCCGGTTATAACGCCGCCAGCTACGGGAAGACCAGTTTCTCCCATTAAGGCCAGATCTATTTCTCTCGCGGCTTGCCTACCTTCTGTGATTGCCCACACTACCAGAGACTGTCCACGCCGACAATCTGCGTGGAATAACGACAATATGCTAATCACTGAATAATCGTGAGAAAACCAAAATTTATGGTAATTACATGCAAAAAAAAAAAGAAAAAAAAAAAAAAAGGATAATATAAAGTAAAATGCAAAGCAACTTACCTCCTGCTGCATAAATTCCATTCAGACTTGTCTCGTATTTTCCAACTGGTGTTTTGAAGTTACCTCTTTCGTCCATTGTTGTGTTCAATTCTGTTGCTATGTACTTCTCTGGACCCAGGAAACCCATCGCGAGTAAAACTAGGTCGCATTTGTACGTCTACGATGAAAATCAAAAATATCAGACAGATATCAGCAGAAATTGACAGCGAGAGATATTACAAACTGTATGTAGCATTTACCTTTTCTGAACCGGGGATTTCCTCCATTTTCCAACGTCCGTTTTCCATCGTCCATGATACTGACACCGTTTGGATGCCACTCACGTGACCGTTCCCATCATCTAGAAACTCCTATTATAGAGGTATTACTTATCACAATTATTTTATCACAATTGTGTCGTGCGAAATGTGAATCTTTACATACTTTACTCAATGTGCTGAACTGACGGGGATCACGGCCAAATTTCAGGGAAACTTCTTCATGACCGTAATCCACTTTAAACACACGTGGAAACTGTGGCCAAGGATTGTCGTGTGCTCTGTTGCTCGGTGGTTCGGGTAAAATTTCGAAAGTTGTAATTGTTTTGGCACCCTAATAACAATCGAAAATACAATACAATAGAAAAAAATTTTCAAAAAATTGCATTCTTTACTTTCCAGCAACTTCCTCGTAAACAGCAATTCAAGTTTCGAGCAAACATCAAGTTCGCAGCAAGTTGTCTCGACATTTTTTTAAATAGACAAGATGACATATAAGAATAAAAATGCAAATGATTCTACCTGTCGCAAGGACGTGGCTATACAATCGCAGCCAGTATCACCCCCACCGATTATAATGACGTCTCTGTCTTTAGCCATTAAACGCATATCCAGCGGAACGTCGTTTCCCATTTGTTTCTTCTGCCAATGTTCCAGAAAACTGACAGCAAAGTGAATCCCTTCGAGGTGCCGACCTGGTATTTGCAAATCTCTTGGCCAAGTCGCGCCCGTACATATCAACGTTGCGTCGTACTCTTCTTGCAATTCCTAAACGATGAAAAACCGAAAAAAGATTAACATGTACAAACGAACGATAATGAAATCAAGAAACGTTAAAAGCAAGCTTTGTCAACCTTGGCAGAAATATCTTTTCCAACGTCGATGCCCGTTTTGAACGTAATACCCTCTGCCGCGAGAAGCGAAACCCTCCTTTGAACAACTTGTTTCGACAGCTTCATAGTCGGGATACCATACTGCAGCAGACCTCCGATTCGATCGTTCCTCTCGTAAACAGTCACCAAGTGGCCTGCTTTGTTCAACTGATGAGCCGCTGCCAAACCAGCGGGACCAGAGCCAACTACAGCTACTCGCCGGCCAGTTCTAGTTGTTGGTGGATGCGGGACTATCCAACCTTGTTCGAATGCGTGGTCGATTATCGCACATTCGATGTTCTTTATCGTAACTGCTGGTTCCGATATACCCAGAACGCAGGCACCTTCGCACGGAGCGGGACAAACTCTTCCGGTGAATTCTAAATATATTTACATACGTTCAATTTAAAAGATTCACAGTAGATACTACTACTATCTGGGTCTCTACCATTTAAATCGCCTTTCCTCTTTTTTTTTTTTTTTTTTTCTTAACTGCACAAACCTGGGAAATTATTAGTCTGTAACAACTGATTCAGAGCTTCCTTCCAATTCGATTGGAAAACGAGATCGTTCCACTTGGGAATGATGTTCCCAAGAGGGCAGCCGTGGCTACTCTGACAAAACGGCACGCCGCATTCCATACATCTTGCAGCCTGTACGCGCAGTCCTTTGCGAACCTTTTGAAAATTATAGATCTCATTCCAATCGTCGATTCGGTTCTCAACTGGCCGATAAGCTCCCGTCTGCCTCTTGTACTTCATGAACCCTCTAAAAATAAAACACTGTATATATTACGTATCAAACTCTCTTAATTTAAAATAGATACGCGTGACTTGAACTTTGAATCAGAGTTGTTAGTTACTAGTTAGTCAGCAAGTTGAAAGAATAACTTGCTGCAACTAACTCTGTTAATTTGAAATAGACACTGAATTTAAACGGACGTTGAACTATGAACCAGAGTTGTTAGTTACCGGTTACCGAATTCAAAGAATACTTTACCTTATCTTGTCCAATTTATGCTGTTCTATTTCAATATCTGCAATAGTGTCTTCGATATCTTTGACCTGTGCGTTTACCGTTTGAGAGCTTCCATTTGGTATCGTTTCTGCCTGTTTGGTTTCTTCAACTTGCCTCAACGCCCGCTGATACTCGTATGGAAATACCTTTAAAGAAATTAGAACGTTAACAGCTAATTATCGTTAACAGTTAATTATTATATATCAATCGTGTTGAATATTACCTTAACGAATCGCGTGGTTGGCTCAGGCCATAACATTAGAAGATCTTGAGCTACCAGAGAGCCAGTTTTCTCAACAAATTCTTCCAAAAGCTTCTTAACATACGCAATGTCCTCTTGCTTGTTCAAAGGAAGCAGCTCTACCATTTCAGGGTTACATTTACTATAAAAAAATGAATTGATTGAGTGTGTAAAATGTGAAAAATTCGTAGTAAATATCTATACATATAATATATATATATATATATATATATAATTATAAATATATACGTATAACCGTATATATTATAAAATTATATGTAGTAAAATTTATGTAGTTGTATATTTGGCAAAAAAAAAAAAAGGCAGAGTACCTTTTGAACGATCCGTCCACATCCAAGACGTACGCTATCCCTCCGGACATTCCAGCTGCGAAATTTCGGCCAGTAAGCCCAAGAATAACTGCACAACCGCCAGTCATGTATTCGCACCCGTGATCACCGACGCCTTCAACTACCACTATCGCGCCACTGTTACGAACGCTGAATCTCTCAGCGGCGATTCCACGAAAATACGCTTTGCCAGAAGTGGCACCATAGAGACAGACGTTACCAACGATCACGTTCCTATCAGACTTGAAAGTAGAATCCTTTGGTGGATATATGACAATTTCCCCTCCGCATAAACCCTAAAAATTACGGGAACAAATGTACAACAAATGTGTGTATATATATATATATATATATATTTGTACACATGCCGTGTGAAATGTACGCGTAAGATGAAGCGATTCGGTTAGAAACACATATTTACTTTGCCAACATAATCGTTGGCGTCTCCTTCGAGAGTGACGTGAACGCCTTTAGTCATGAAAGCGCAGAAACTCTGACCCGCAGAACCTTTCATTTTTATGTTGATGCTACCTTCTGACAAACCGTCTTCCCCGTACAACCTACCGAAAGAAATGGAAAACGAAAGAAAGAATTAGTCCATCGTCGGGAGCATTCGCAATTACGATCGAGAAAGTCATATATTATTATTACTTTGAGATATGGTAGCTTAACGTTGCCGCGAACGCTCTACATTCGTTGTTGATATTTAATTCGATATCAACGCGATCCTGTTTTCCCTTCAGCACACCCATGGCCAATTCGATCACGCGATTGTCCAGTCTGTTTTCTAGCTGAAAGTCCTGTTTCATCGAGCCCCCTTGAATGTTCACTCCTGGACGGAGTTCAAGCGCGTCGCGCAAAATATTGTCGAGCTTCAACGTTTTGGCTTTCTCTACCGAGATGTCTTCGCGAACTTTCAACAAATCCGTACGGCCTATTAGATCTTGAAATTTATGCAATCCAAGGCTGGCCATGTAAGAACGTACCTGTATTAAAAAAGAAAGAATGTGTGTATATATATATATATATATATATATATATATATATATATATATATATATATATATATATATTTTGCGTGATGCAATAAACATTTCGTATAAATGATGAATGATGCTTGAATTCGCTGGAAATTCCCAATTTCCGTGTTACATACCTCTTCCGCCAGTGCGAAGAAGAAATTAATTACGTGTTCTGGCTTCCCCTCAAACTTCTTCCGAAGTGTTGGATCTTGCGTCGCGATACCGACGGGACAAGTGTTCAAATGACACTTCCTCATCATGGTACAACCCATGGAGATTAACGGCGCGGTGCTGAAGCCAAATTCATCGGCACCCAAGAGTGCCGCGACCACCACGTCAAACCCTGTACGCATTTGACCGTCTGCTTGCACGATAACGCGCGACCGAAGATTGTTCAAGGTGAGAATCTGATGGGTCTCCGCAACCCCTAATTCCCAAGGTAATCCAGCGGACTTTATTCCCGTCCAGGTGCTGGCCCCGGTGCCGCCATCGTGGCCAGATATCACAATGTGCTCTGCTTTGCCCTATTTTCACGATTCGTCGCATCGACATTCGCATACAGACAGAAAATAATAGAAATGAGGAATAGGAGACAGAAATGAATTAAAAAAAGATGAAAGATTACACGATATTTTTCTAACAAGCCAGTTACGTTACGCACTACCTTCGAGTATACGATTACCTTTGCAACGCCTGATGCGACTACGCCTACTCCTACCTCCGACACCAGCTTCACGGAGATGCGAGCACTCGGATTTGCACACTTTAAATCGTAAATTAATTCCGCAAGGTCTTCGATCGAGTAAATGTCGTGATGCGGGGGTGGCGAGATCAGACCTACACCAGGTACCGAGTGTCTAGTTGCAGCAATTTCAGCGGTAACCTGCACAGGTAGGATTGCATAGTATAAGTAGATGTTTGCAACTCGTCCATCGTTCCGTTTCCGAGTCGCGACAAGGCTTTTTGCAACAATGTAATTAATAGAAATCCGCCGCTTCACCTTGTAACCAGGTAGCTCGCCTCCTTCCCCCGGCTTTGCCCCTTGCGACATTTTGATTTGAAGATCATCGGCATTTGCCAAATAGCTCGACGTTACGCCGAAACGGCCGCTGGCAACTTGTTTAATGGCCGATCGTTTATTGAATTCCGGGTCCTGATTGAGATATCTAAATGACAAGTTTTTACCTCACGTTATTCGGTAATTTTTTGCAAGCAAGCGAGAAAGTGATATACGCACGCCTGTAAATGAGTGAGTGAGTGAGTGAGCGAGCGAGTACATGAAAATAGGAGTCCACACTGATATCTGGTTTAACGACGTTGCAATGTCTGTCGACTTTTAATTACCACAAACTTTTATACCCACTACAATTCCTGAACTGCGTCCACGAAACAACGTTACTTATAACTCGTGATTGACGTTATCTCAACTGGGAATGAAACGAAGCTTTTACACTCTCGATTCACAACAACTTTACAGAGTTTGTTAGATCGTTTGAATCAAGTTGCTGAGCATTTTTCCGTTGAACATGATGCCAACAAACATGACGCATTCATGTGTTCGCTTCACAAGCACACGGATGGACATCGTAAAATGATCGCTCAAACTTTCCTATCTATTCTCACTCTCACTTCCCGTTCGTTATCTCTCGTTTCTCGCTTTCGTCACTGATGACACACCCAAGAAACGAGCGGATTCGACAGAGATAACAGCCAACGTACGGTTGCAATGAAAATCCAATATTATTGTATTTGCCGCGTGTACACTTACATATGTTGCAATTCGTGCAAATTCATAACGTAAACAATACCTGTCAGCATTTTCACCTCCTTCGCCGGTGTTCGATTTACCGCTAATACGATTCATTGCAATCGCTAAGGTTGTATGCGCTTCTATAGAAATACTTCCAAAACTCATAGCTCCAGTTGCGAATCGTTTCACTATCTCAGACGCCGGTTCGACCTCCTCAATGGGTATCGACTTTTCTGCTCTTTGCACTAACTCCAACTGTCCGCGCAAAGTACACGCCCTTACCATTTCCATCGTACTTTTCCGATACTTCTCGTAAGCGTTCCAGTTCTTTGAATTTACATAATCCTGACGGGGAGAAGACGAAAGGATAGCAATTATTTTTAAGCTTTTTATTCGTAACGATATGCTTTGTCTAAAGTGTCTAAAATCTTCATGGATTTAGTTTACCTGCAAGTTGGCAATGCTGTCTGGATCGTTTATGTGTTTTTCCCCGCCGGATCGCCAATGATACATTCCCGGATTGCGAATAACGAGCATGTCCATCGGTTTCTTCCAATATGTGATTTGGTGTCTTTCAAATGCTTCTTTTGCCAATATATCAAACGTCACGCCGCCAATGCGAGAATGCGTGCCCTGTACAAAGGAGAGATTACGTCGAAAGATTAGGCATCGTTTTACAATAAAAATTTAAAATCATCACACAGAAAAACAATGAAACAACAGAGCATGTCATTGAAATCGTTGAATCACAACAACCATTGATCGTATTCATTAATTGGATCCAGTTTTTAATCATTCATGCAACGCAATCGCATCATTTTCTATCTATGCTCTATTGGAGATATGAATGCAAATGCAAACCTTGAAACATTTATCGATGACTTCGTCGGACAGGCCGACCGCTTCAAATATTTGAGCACCCTTGTACGATTGTAACGTGGAGATTCCCATTTTTGCCATTACCTTCGCTATCCCCCTTTCCATTGCCTCCGCATAATTCTGTAACGATATTCTCATTCATTTTTATCCACGATCATCGTGGTCATCGTTGTTCTCACATCAACAAATAACGTAACCAACAACTCAATGATTTAATTGCACGACAGTGTTACTAGAAAAAGAGAAAACTTACCGCGCACAAAGCATTGTCGGTCAACGACGAATCAAGCACTCCATCCATACGAAGATTTCTTGCCATTTCGAACACAAGATACGGACAAATGGCGTCTGCTCCGTAACCAAGTAACAAACATATATGATGCACCTCTCTAGCTTCGGCCGTTTCTATAATCAGACCAACTTTCATACGTTGTCGTTCTTCGATTAGATAGTGGTGCACTGCGCCCAACACCAACAAGCTGCTTACAGGTACTCTGTAATATATGTTATGTTATTAAATATGTTACTATGTTATTCAATAATGATGTGGCACCACATCACAGGAATGGTAAATACATACATACGATCAAATAATATTCTCACCTTTCTGGACCACTTTGTCGGTCGGATAGAACGAGGAATTGATAACCTTGTTTCGCAGCTTGATTAGCTTCTTCACTGACACGATTTAGCGTGTTCACTAATCCAGGTGGACCATCTTGCACGGGATATGTCGCATCGATTATTTTGGTTTTCCAGCCGCGATAGTTTGTTCGTTTAATTATCTCTAGATCTTCTAAAGAGAGTATCGGTTGCGATAAAAACAATCTGTGCACTTGCAGTTCATTTGGTTCGAGAATATTGCTTTCTGGCCCGATAGGGCAAAGCATCGACATTACTATCTTCTCTCTAAACGGGTCTATCGGAGGATTTGTCACCTAAGGACAAATTTCAAAAGAGAAAATAACCATGTATGTTAAAGTACATTGCACCTAAATGCAAAAGTTACTGTCACAAGTCATTTCTACCTGAGCAAACAGTTGCTTAAAATATTCGTAGATCAGGGGTTGAAATTGAGAAAGGCAAGCTAGTGGCGCGTCATTACCCATGGAGCCTAGCGATTCTTTCCTGTGTAAAAGAATTTTACAGTTACAACTCGTGTTGAAACGCAACGAATCGAAATAAAATTTGCAACACGTACAATATTTTTTTATTCATCAATTTTAGACCTCGAAAGACCTTCAAAAATATCAAAACCACGTACTTGGATTGCATCATCGGCAGAAGAAGCAAATTGATAGTTTCAAGAGTGTATCCATAGAGGGATAATCTTTTATCACCTCCCCAAACTCGATTCACAGCAGATATTGGATTTGCATCGTTCATCACGTTTTTTTTAGCTACTACACTGTCCACAATCGAACCGTTTTCAACAGCACTTGACGTCTTTTTATAGTCAACGTCCGCAGCACGTAACTCCTCCATCGTAATCTGCAAACGCAAAGCATGTTTTTAACCCGAACAATGTTCAATATATAACTCTTCGCTATATCGGATCAGACTAATATTGTTATACACGTAAAATTACTTAGGGACATTAGAGGATCGGATTAAAATCATCCGTAAGATAAAGTGACTGCAGAGTATGAATACAGAGCATACTACATAGGGAACATGATGCAAAAGTACGACACTCACCATCTGTGTGTAACATCAAAGAGTGAGCACAGCATATAAAATTGTTTGCAAAACAGAAACAAACGGTTTTTCTTCATTAAAAAAGGATTACATTTCACAGACAATAACAGTCAATAATCAAAGAGGGCGAAACAAGTGCGAAAAATACCTGATCTTTCAGCCATTTGGAATGTGGTCTACTTCTAGAAATGTGCAACTTTAGTTCGACATCTTCGATGATCTTCTTTTCATGCGTGTCGACCAATAACATCCTGCCAGGCTTCAAACGACTCTGTAAAATAAAATGCAGATAATCACTGTTGAATCGTATCCACTATTACCCAACGTTTGTTGCCACAGCACTGTACGATGATTTATACACGTCTACTCTCTAAATGGTCAGTTCTACGTTACGTGTACGTGACGTAAAAAGAAAAAAATAAGTACAAAATAAAATGAATGTTAAACATTTTTTTTTACTGGACCGTCTTCTTGCTACAAGAGTGAGAATAGTCTTCCCTCATTTACCTTCAGGATTACATTGCTGGGCGGAGTGTCATAGACGCCCACTTCGGACGCCATCACCATCATGTTATCCTTAGTGACGTAGAAACGCGACGGGCGCAGGCCGTTTCTGCCAAACAAAAATTCAAAAGTCACAATATCATCAATGCTAATATCAACTACAACTCTATTTTCTTTTTCGTTTTCCCCTATTTCCCCCCCTGCCCCTTCCCGGAAACGAGTGAACGAAATAACAGAGCAACAAAGATTAAATATCAGATTCTACCTGTCCAAAATAGCGCCAACGTAACGTCCGTCCGTAAATGTTAAAAGAGCAGGACCATCCCAAGGTTCCATTGCGCAAGCAGCCCAGTGATAAAAATCGCGTTTCTCCGCTGCCATGGTCAAGTCATTTTGCCATGCTTCTGGTACCATTGTCATCACTGCCTAAACACATATATAGTAGATGTACATATAACTTTCAGATTTCCCTTAATCATCGTGAACAGATCGAGAAGCAAATGAAAACTGTAAAACGATACGTTATAGATATGTGCATTATGCATAGACATACCTCTGGTAAAGATCGTTGGCCCACCATTACCAAAAATTCCAAAACACAATCAACGGCCCCTGAATCCGAGAGATTCGGTTCCACTACAGGATAAAGTTGTTTCAATTGTTCCCCATAAAGCTTGCTGCTCATCACTCCTTCACGAGCCTTCATCAGATTTACGTTTCCTCTTAAAGTGTTTATTTCTCCATTGTGTGCTAATAATCTACAAATACCAAACACCGTAAATAGCGCATATAGATTATAGAGGTACAGCAGGTACACAGCAGGTACACAGCAGGTATTTGGTATAGAGGTATACAGCGGGTTTTGAGGTTGCTTACCGAAGGGGATGTGCCCTTTCCCAGCTAGGAAATGTATTTGTGGAAAATCTTGTGTGAACTAAGGCCAGGTACGTTTCAAATTTTGGAGACTACAATAAATATGTACAAGTTGAATACGAGTAATCGCGATATATGGCCATATACAGCGTTTAATTTAATTTCACCTTTAAATCTAAGAAATAGAGCCACAACTGATCCGCCGTCAATTGTCCTTTGTAAACGATCGTTCGTACAGAAAGTGAGCATATGTAGTATCTAATTCCTGGTCGTGGTATGGTGTGAGACGATCTTTTTCTTAAAACAAAAACCTACAATGAAAATCAGAATTGCAAAATCAGTTGGAATTCGATAAACTGCTGGAATCAACTTGGTTCTTTTATAATATCCAAAGTTATGAAAATTTGACAATACATAATTTTTGAAACAATGGTTCCGACTGGATTGAAAATTGGTACATTTTGTTCTTACTTGTCGAGTATTGCTGTAATTTAAA